GAGATAGAAAAAAAATGAAAACGGAAATAAACATTATAGATAACATTACAATTTACATATCTTTGTTGCGTGTTCAACGTTGATTACGACAATATAACTGTAATTTATTTGACGTAGATCTCTGAAAATTACTACAAAAACGTATTATTAAAGAAATTATGGCCTATGACCAACTTTTCCGCGTAGTCATAATTTAAATCCATTTGGAAATGATCACGAGTCATTAAAATTCAGTCGGTATTCAAAAATCTTTCTGTTCTTGCTAAAGAGATATGGTTCTGACTCAATGAAACAGTAATCTCTAATTAAAAAATAATGCACTTGATAAAAGACTCATTAGTTACGTACCATTCTACAGCTTTCCGTCTATACATAATTATATGATATTTATATCACTAAAAATTATTTAAATCTAATTAACAATAAATATTGCGAGAGTTACTTCGGTCCTAATTTAAAATGTAATTTAGAAAGGAAGGCGATAGTAATGAAATAAAACAATAAAATATATAATAAAGATAATAAAATATATAACTTAGGTACATAGATGTGTACATTATGTAATAGATTAATTCTCTTTTGAAAGAAATTCTGATCTATGAATGTATATACATATAGCTGCGGTTTTCATTGATTACATAATTTTCAACTGATTGGCACCGTGATGTCGGCACCTCTGATTGTCCACTTTGCCGATATTACGAGGCTAGAACTCTTCACACATCTCTATAAGCACATAGCTCATGTACACATCGAAGAACGACCAACGGAGGTAGGATTCCGTAGTGATTCGGCAATCCTGGAGAACTGCAGTCTGCTTGCATTCAGATGCCAAGCGAGGCCAACCCGACAAATTGCGCCAGTAAGCTTGGACGTCTGCAAGGACCCCACTGCAAATTTCAACAATTCGACGACGGTGCCAACTTGTCATCGAGGTAACTCCCTTGCGCATTTTCCGCTGGGACTTCGAATATAATTGATTTGATTGTCACTAATCTATGATTGATAGAGGGTGCTCAAAAATTTTTTTATAAACTTGCATCGTAAAAAATGTGATAATGCTCTTGTTTTTATTATACAGAATTTTCTAGGATTTTAAGACTTTTTGACTTAGTCTTCGGTTTTAGATTTATGCTAAATTTTTTATTTTTAATATTTAATGTATATTTTATTATCTTGTAAAATATACTTATAAGAATAATAATTATTAAGTGATAATAATTATTCTATTGGTTGCGTCATAAGAATTTAATTACAATGACAATAGCGCTAATAACTTCTAATTAATCCAGTTAATTAATTTATTACCACAGAACCTAATCAGTTGTGAGATATATACATAAAAGCTTTTGTATCATTATTTGTGGTTAATCGAAGCAAATACATTTACACTATAACACCGATGAGGTACTATTAAAAATCGACGATATTATGGAACTTGACATGACTCGAAAAACTCGCTGTACGCTGATGCCCTCTTAGCAATATGGCGGTCTGAATAGGAAACAACAATAAGAAACTTACCGATAAAATATTACATCCGTTGAATCCATTATAAGATACTATTATCATATCAATGGATACTAAAACCATAAATTTTTATTTCACCTTACCACCAATGAGATAGTCTCTCGTAGATGATTTTAAATTACTATCTTATCATTGATAATAGAAAGTTTACGTATGTACCTACACTAAAAGTTTAAAAAATTTTTTTAAACGTTTTAAAAATATATTATAAAGTAAAAAAATTTGAATTTATTAATAATAATTAAAAATAATCTATACATTATATCTTATTAGATAAACTGACTAGTGACAGAATAGACTGAGAGAGAATGTTAGTGAATAACAGAGAATGATAACGATTAAATAAAATTGAGCGAAAACGGTGGAAAAAAAATTAAGAAGATTGCAATTAAATCAAATCATTGAGAAAGCATGGACGAGAATTAAATATAAAATCGAATAAATAAAACTTATCAGAGTGAAAGGGAATGATTGTGAATAAACAAGATTTTAAGATCGATTTTAAAGAATGTGATAGAATAAGAAAATGATAGTAATTAATTAAAATTTCATAAAAATGAAAGAAATGAAAAAATAAAAATTCTGGTGTTAAAAAATTGGCCAGTTTTGTGATTAGTTTACTTGGATTCCGAAGACTTAAGAAAATGAAGATCTCTTTCATAATTTTTTATATAGTTTTCGCTATAATACTTATTAGAGTTTTCGTTCAAAAGCTCCAGACAGCATTTTGTGCCCTCTGCTTGCTAGTATCACGAATTTTAATTTTAAAGCTTGATATAGGCTGCATGTTTCATAAACTTTTTAGTTTTTAGAAAAGTAAATACTATCTGTCTCTTGTAATTATCTACTTTTTAAATAATATCTTTATTAAAAATTAAATATGTGTTAAAAGTAAAAGTATCATTAGCATCATTTATCTGGGCTCAATAAATGCTTTTGGGTCGTTACATTACGCGATCTTATTGAAGGCGGATAAAGTAGAGAACTCGGCTATGTTCTTCTATTTTCAACAAGTCACATTTACCAGAAGAAACGAAGTTGACTGTTATCAGCTACTGTACAATTATACAAACGCGATAACATTACAGAGTTTTAAAATAAATTTTGACCTGATTTATGAGATTGATAAATTATCCATCCATATGTCATCCATCCATAATAAATTTAAGACATCAATAATCATTTATCACAATAAATTTATGAGATTGATAATCATGTATTAATAATTAAATAAATTTATGAGAATCTTTCATTAACGGCACAAGAAGAAATTTAATTTATAGTGAATTACTCACAAAATCTAAGATCTAACAAATTGGCATAACAAGATACAGTAAACGAGACTCCTATTTTTATTCAAAACATGGACGTGAGTCTAGTACATCGAGAAATTATGTGAACTGGAAGTGTGTAGATAGCTCCGTTAACCATTTGCAGCGGAACCAAAGTGACTCACGAGAATCATGACAGTTTCGGGTTGGGTTATTTCTGTGATCGCACTGGATTATTATTTCAAGGCAGACATAGGTATATACGTTGTGAGCGCATAAGCTGAATAGTACATGAATAGGAAAATTAAACATTTCTAATTTTACTGCATTAAAGTCAATGAAATTGAAGGTTTGTTCACAATAAATTTTATTTTATTTTTAGTTATTAATTTAGTTAAATCCTTCTCTAAACCAAAAGATATCCCTTCAAAAATATATACTTATGGAAATAGCAGAAAATATGGTTTGCAACACAACGAAATATCTAAATAAATACGATGTCTGAAACATGATGTTTATAAAATGTATTGTCTTGTGGCAAACAAAATACAATACTCCACTCGCTGTAATTTCACTAAAGTAGCATATAGTATTATACATATATTATAGTTATTATATGCTACATTAAAGTAGCATATAAATAAAATTACATATCAAAATTAATCAATTTCCTTTATCAATAGCAATAAATTTTTATTTTCGGGCAATGTCATGTACAAATCATTTTGTGGAATGTATAATAATACGCGTAATAAATTATCTACATTTATGCATCGCTTCTCTCGGCGAGGTCATTGCAGCCTCATTAATTTACTGTGCTGGACATTATCGTGATCGATAAATTAGCAGAGTGACTATACTCTTGGTAATCGGTAGCACAGTTATTTTGTGGTTGACATGTCCTGTCAGATCAATACATCCTCGTATAGTCATGCCTGTGTTTATGACAGATACTTCGGTAGCTTCATAAATTCCTGTCATCTTCAAATTTGCAATAAATTAAGCGTAAGCAAAAACCGTACAGTTGTATTAACTTATCGTCAGAATATAAGCTTTTATGAGTGAAAAATAATTTTGACTTTTTATAAATTACGATATAATTCGTTTACATCTAATTTATCTATTTTTAGTTAAATAAAAAAATACCGTAGTTGTTTAGAATAAGATACAATATTTAAATCAAGTTTCTGTCATTCCAAACACACATTGACAAATATAGCTGACTTGATACGACGTCGGTTTTATGATGGTATTAATATTGATGGTAAAAGTATTATTGACACGGCAAATTAATATTTAAATCAAGGTACCGTGTGAATTACGAATTAAATGCAATTTAAAAAATTATTGTTTATACAACATTAGAACAAATTATTATTGCACCAAATACATAACATTATCGTTCTTTCCTTTTCATTTGCATGTTTTCTCATGTATCTGACTAGCACATTGAAAGTCTTACAATTCTTATATTATTATTTACAAAAGTATTGATAATTCTGCGATACTAGAGATAAAAAGTTTGTATTTCAATATCAGAGAACGCAAATAATGTCGTAAAAATTTGCGGAGTGGCCGATATCTCTAGTGATTAATATATAAACTTGCACACTGTCATTCCAAACACACATTGACAAATATAGCTGACTTGATACGACGTCGGTTTTATGATGGTATTAATATTGATGGTAAAAGTATTATTAACGCGGCTATTGATATAAATCACGATTTGTTGTTTCGTGAGCAAACTACTGTGTCGATTGAATGCTTCATGTGGAGCTTTATCTATCAGTATTTAAGTCTAAAACGTGACAACATTAACAATTTTATTATTTTAGCAATAATATTGATAATTCTGCGATACTAGATATAAGTTTCAATATCAGAAAATGCAAATAATCTGTCGCAAAAATTGGCGGAGTGACGGATATTTCTACTGATCAATATATAAACTTGCACACTATCATTTCAAACACACATGCATGAGTATAGGTGATTTGATGCGACGTCTGTTTTATGATGGTGAAAATATTATTAACACAGCTATTGATATAAATCACGATTCGTGTTTCATGAGCAAACTGCTGTATCGATTGGACACTTTATGTAGAGCTTTATCTATCAGTATTTAAGTCTATAAAATATGAACAATATGAAGAATTTTATTATTGTAGCAATAATATTAATAGCCAATTTCTATTTTTCGGCTTCCTCTTTGTCTTTCTTTTTCCTTCGTCTACTCTAGCGTTTTTATTATATTATACTTGTTCTCAACCTTTTCCATTTCACTTTTCTCCTCAACCTCTTTACACTCTCCTGACCATTTTTACAGCTTGCTCCTGTTCATATCTCAGAATTGCTTCAACAATTCATCAAATCCATCTTCTAACACTAAAAGTTTTAACCTTTACTTTTTCTCAAAAATTTGCAATATAATCCTAAAAATTCTATATTCGTCTAATTCTTCCAACTTTTTCGTTTCGTTAATTAATTCCATTTCCATATTCACTATTTTTGCGTTTACTTTTGACATTTATTATGTGAAATCAGCTACCTACGTCATTTTGACCTATTCGAACTTTTATAAATGCACAAATTTTCATTCTAATTATTACAGTTATTCCTAGGTACGGCATATAACATATTATTAATTTCAGGGAGCGAAAGTTGAGATTGATTTTAGTGCGCGGTAATTGGATTTCCAAATTAAAAGATAGTCTATATTTTTTGCAAAATCCTACTGAATAACTATGCCGAACTTGGTTCAGATCGGTCCATTGGTACGAATTGTATAAAGAACATACAGACAGACTTTCACTTATATATATATATAAATTAATATAATAGCATAATAAAAATTATAAATTTTACAATTAGTTATACAATCTATTTGACAGTAATCGTAGTATTTAGTTTCGTAGTATTGATTTCATAATTTTGTTTCTATAATTTCCAATAATTATTTAACAATTATGTATTGAAAATGAAATAACCTTCTTAGACGGGAATCTCTCTTACCTCTCTTTAAACGTATCAAAACGAGACATTATATTATTTTATATGTCATAATAATATTGGATACGTCTAGCACGATGATACAACGTACTATATACCACAAACCATTTACAATTACTGGCAAACTAATCTGTACTTGTGATAACATTAGTATTTATGCAACGATACAAAACTTGTTCACTTTCTCTATCTTATTTCTTCTTTATATAATTTTACGTTGATAGCGAAGGATCTCTTCTGCGATTAGGTTCCAAAAGTTTTTTTCCCGTTATCGCTTTATTACAGCTTTTGCACCTTCTTATGATGAAGTCTGCTTCTGTAATGCATCCTGCGATTCTTTTTGACCTTTCAATCTGCAGGTTCTGACTTACAGTTGCAACACGTCATTAATTTATAATGAGCTGCGTCCATCGCTTGGTTCAGCTGTTCCTTGAGTTCCCGGGCCTTCACATATACATCTTCCCTCATCAGATTGTAGCACATGGCTATCAGGCCCATGCCTAGCAGCAAGTACACAAAGTTGATGATGAGCTTTGTCTGGCTGTCTTCCGTAGAGTCGCGCTGGCTCCAGCCTGGAACTAGGTCACCCATGCCGATTTTGCAGAGCGAAGTGACGCAAAAGTAAGTACTGTCCAGGTAGTCCCACTTCTCCCATTCGGCGAACATGATCGAACCGACGACTATATAGCCGCATATCACCCATAAACAAGCGGTCGAGGGCACGATGATCCTCTGCCCAGGTTTCCGCTGACCCGTACACTCGTGCAATCGCGTATACAACCACTTGAAAGTCTGCGCGAGCACCTTGCCCATATTTAAGAAATAGAGCACGTACAGTGGAATTCCCAGCACGGCGTAGATCACCGTGGCACCTTTACCCCACTGAGTCTTCGGCACCAGACTGCCATAACCGATCATAGTGAACACCGAGAGGCAGAACATCAACGCCGATGGAAATGACCAGAGATCGGTAGGTGTTAGGCCATTGCAGTTCAGTTTCTGTTGCCTGCCTTTAGTAATATTTTCTTGATAACGTTGCAGAATACTATTGGACACCACGTAGAAAGCGGTCTGATTGAACACGTTCACTGATTGATTGCTAGCGGTGCTGAACCACAGCTCGTCGGCATATTCCCGACGAATATATTCTCGCACGCACACTGTCGCCGTCGGATCGACCTGGGATTCAATCATTATGAAGCCAAAGGCGCCCACAATGGCATAGCCTACCACCAGACCGCCCACGCCCACTTGAGTGCACATGAAAGCCACCAACTTCCGGCAACAGTCCTTGACGCGTTCCCGTGGATCGACCCCGGTCGACGTCGAAGATGAATCTCGGCTCCTCAGAGAGGATCTCATTGGGATACCGCGCGGCATGTCTCGATCAGAACTACCGTGTCCGATCCGGCACGACGAGACTCACATGGAACACCACCTTGGCTGATACTCAGCGACTCTCCTCGTGCCGCTTTTCTATTTCTGGTCGGAACGCCCCCGTCGCTTGCTTCTCGTTTCTTCCTTCGTCATTTCGCTGACTATCCGTCTTTGTTTCTCTACTTTTGTTGAATCGTATGACACCACACCGCCTCATTCTCGTGAATTACTTCCACGAGATTAGAATCACTACAGTAGCTTTAGATACTCCTATTGTTTTAATGCTACTTTGCAAGGATAATCCGTAAAGTCAAAGTTTGCATTGTTAGTTTCGAACTTTTGATGTTGAAGTCGGCTTATCATCTATGCGTATCACAATAAGTCTACGATTAAAATAGGTTTCTCCAAGTGTGGAGTTTGTTTAGATTCTCCAAGCTCCAAGAAAACATATTATTGCTCGATAAATAATTACTGTGAAAATTTTAAAAGCTTCCAGTCTGTTATTTTAAAGAAAATGTAACGTAAATTATATAATTATACAAAATATATTTACAGTATGGCAAGCTAAATTACAAATTACAGATATATTAGAATTTTAAGATTTACAAAACTTATTTTTTTAGAAATTTTACGAATGTCGAAAATTAAAGATTTGATAAGAGAGATACGATATTGTAATGTTTTTAAATAACACGAATTAACATATGTGTGGCGGTATTTTGTGAAAGAATAGCTCTGTTATGAAGCGGCTAACTACACGCAACTAACTCTATCGAGTTTACTATTTTTACCAACATATCTACACAAATGGTGTCCGCTAAATTCGACGGAACGAGTGTATGTGGAACTTGAAATAGTTACTCGCGGTAGTGGCTGTTGCCAAATAATACGCCGCAACACGAGACTAATGAACAGCTTTCTTTAATTATAGAAAGAAATATTTTACAGAGAATTATAATTAAATTATTGCTACATGTCGTATCGGAACATCGGAACATTCGACATAAACAGATTAAAGAGTTTTCTTATCCTTATCGTATTGCTTTTCTGAAACACAATGAAAATAATGATTGTAAAATAATGTCAAGTGTAATTACGACTTTAACAGAGTAGTGTGTCACAGTTATCAGCATTCCAAAATAGCATCACGGGTATATTGGAACTTGAAGGGAAGATAGAGAGAATCGTGTGACATAATAACAAAGTCGCATCATCGTGAAAGGGGGAGAGTTCCCCTTTATTGACTTATTTTCCCTTTGCAAAGTTATACACGAAATTACACTTGTGTATAAATTGAATATTGCTGTCCGCAAAGATACATGCTTGCTTTGGCTTTAATGGTTGCACTCTCGTATCAACTTAGATAATTTTATCTGCAGTTGAACCTTTTTATTCCAAGTAATCGCTCTTAAAAGTACATACGTTTCTAGATAAATGAGGCATTTCATGAAGAAATGCTGTATATTTTGATACTCGATATACAGTCTTAATCGCAACAATAAGCGTTTTTAATCAGCTTGATATGATGAGTCAAATTAAAAGCACATTAGTTAATGTACTTGTATACTCTTTTTTGTAATTATTTATTTTACGATTAAGACTTTAGTTGATCCAACTGGCAATATAATTGATACAGTGTTACATTAGATGCGACGTTTCGACCAGGAATCCGGTCCTTATCAAGCAATCAAACTTATGTATAAATGTTCATAGAGTTTTTATTTTGATACTCAATAGTTACTTAACGAGGTATGTCATATCATTTAAGACTTGGAATACTCACAAGTTTGCTTTATTACAATTTGCGCAATCGGCTTCATTTGGATAGCGGCCATATATTCCCGCATCTCATAAATGCTCTTGAGGGTATGCGAGAGAAGAACATCACGCCTTTCGATTTCGAAGTATCTTCATAGCCACGTATCTAATACATATCACATTTGATCCATTAAGAATGACGAAAAACAGGGCGAACGTGTCACGAGAGGCCTGATTTTATGTGAACGTGTCTCTAAAATATCTAAACTTATTGGTAACTTGGGCTCTCGACATACATTCGAAAGTGCTTCAATATCTTAAAGCGGTATTTCAACTAACATTATTTCTTTTTGTTGAGCACTGAATAGATATAAAGGTCAAGTAAAGCAGAAATAGAATTCTGAAACGAATTCTATTACACAACTATTTATATTCTCGAATTAAAAGACAGATTTTTTATTAGCGAATCTTGTAATGTGCTTGTTATCTCTATTTATCACAAAGCATAAACAGAGAACTTTTGCAATTAGAAAAAATTGCTGTAGAAATTATTTTATTTTCTTATCATTTATAATTTGAATAGCGTTCAAAATGATAAAAAAATCATCTGATCCTTCGCGAAATTAGAAAATCAATTGCAACTGCATGTTGTAATGGGACAAAGTACGATCATTGCAAAGGAGATTATTCCAATTCCTCGTTTCTATTCTTCGTTCCTCCGTAGAAAATGCTGCATTGGCGAAAAAATTCACTTGAGCGCACTCGCGGCTCTCAAATCGACTGATCGAGGCTGCAGTTTTGTATGAGTTCGATACGGTAACGCGGGGGTTGGATACGTCAGGCTCTCGACGAGGAATTTGCCAGGTAGATCAGTCGGGCGATGATCGTCGTCCAAGTTGCGTCTCGGCGAAATAACAGGTGCACCGTATGTGAAAATGGGTTTAGGTCACTTGCTGATGATCACCTTAACGTTGCTTATTGTTAGCACAGGTAAAACATTTCGTGATTTTTCAGTAAAGTTTTACTCTTTTTTTAACTTATTTATTATATTACTGGTTTTTAGGAACACAAGTTTTTTATCTCTAAATATAAATAATTATTTATTTTTCCAAGAGAGGGAAAGGCTAGTTAGTGCGTAAAAATGATTACCTATATTAATCCCGAAACAGCACAACGTCTCGCTTAAATTAGCAATAATTATTAGTTTTTATATTAATACTGTCATGTTTCTTTTATTGCTCACAAAATTAATGAATATTTAACTTGACATATTAATTCGTTTCTACTTCGTTTCCCTAGAGTTCTGTAGCCATTAAAAAGACTTTTTGTTCTGCTAATATTGTAACATCCATTTAAGAAGTTTTAGTCATTTTAACAGTCAATAGAAACTGCCTTGTTTAAGAATTGATTTCTTTGTTACCCCTTTTCAAAGTAAGAAAGGTGTATTGAACTTTCATCAACTCCATTTCGCGCTATGAGCTTTCCTCTCTTTTATAAATGTGACTTCTGAGAATGTTTGTGCACTAGTGACTGACAATAGCTTATTTTGAGCGGATATAAGATGCACGCAACAATGGCGGTAGCTGTGCTTACCTGCTGACCGAATACTTTGGTCGATCGGTTGATGAACGCATAAACCGCGCGTCTAAATTTAAGATTTGGACCATGCTTTGTTCGCGAATGTAATTTTACTCGGTTGATCGTTCCGGCTAGCGCGCGATGACGACGTTGCTCAACGTCAGCATCACGAAAGCTTTTTCGTTTGTCACAAAGTTTAATTATCAAGTTTAAAAGTCTCCCATTTAATTGTGTTTTGTTTGGATTTTGGCACCAACTTCGAAGAAGTCTCAGAAATAAAGAAAAAATCGAAACTAGATAATGTTTACCTTTTCATTTTTCTATTGTACATTTTAATTTTTCTTAGAAAGTATTAACTCGTGGCAAAAATTGATACGTAAAAGTGCATTCATTCAATCAATCAATAAGCCAATTTAAATTGAATGAATCGCTCTGCAACGTTCGCTCGAATCACGATCGTTTAGGATAGATGAATGAACGCACTCAACTATTTGTACCAAAAGTAATTCACTCTGGCGAATTAAAAGGGAGAATATTCATTGTTCCTCTATTACGTTACCATAATAGAAATGCACTGATAATCAAGCGGTCAGCCGGTCGGTCGGTTGCATACCGTGATCTCTGTGACCTGATATGCCTGTGTATACGTTAAATCTCATGCGATAGCTCATAGTGTAATCTCGGGGTTATCCAGTTAGATTTACGCCGCGTTCAGCAGTCGTATGCTCGTCGTCATCGCGTTCGTGTGTCACCCATCGCGATTGTCTCAGGTGGTTCCCTGCGATGCGTTTCTTCTGCCTAATCGCTCTTTTAGGTAAGAGAGCTCTTCCACCGTGTCCGCTCGATTTCCGCTTGTGATTACTCTTTTGTCACTTTACCTAACAAAAAATATCGATATGAAGAAATTAGGAGATACATATATCAGTTTTTTATAATTTATTTACCATTTCCTGGACGTGCGTGAAATATTTGTGAACATAATGTACTTCATATTCAGTATTTAATCTGATTATATATTTAATCAAATAATTTGTCACTTTACTGTAATAATTGTCTGAAAATTTTTGCAATCGTGATGTCGATTTATATGTAAACAGGGCAGTTTTCTTAATTTTCAAACCAATTGTTTAAATTTACTGATATACATTTATCTTTGAATTATTTATTTCAAGTATTCTTTTGTTCGCGCACTATCATTGTACTGACAGTTTTCAACAGTTTCGAATTTCACAGTTTTCCCTCTTTCTTAAAAACGTAGTTGTTTCTCTCATGAATATTTTGCAAATACATGGGTATATACAGAAAATAATATTTATTATTTAATAACATATATGGTAAACTATAAATGAATATTTCTTATTAAATATTCTTACTAGAAATAGTATTTTAATTTCAAATTTTGGAAGTGTGAAATTAATCTATTTCCAAATTTAATAATAGCGTAATAATAATAGTGAAATTGAAGTGTTTAGTAATAAATGGATATAAAAGGATCAGTTAAAAAAATTCTACGGTAGTGTGGTTGTCGAAAAAGATAATGGTGGTGATAAATTGAGATAATACCGACGTAGTGCGGGAAGTTTTTGACAAGAGCAATGCAAGAGAATGGCTGACGAAGACCCAATGTGCCGACAATATCGAACTATCTTAAGCATCCCTAACTATGAGTGAAACCCCGATCAGCCGGTCTTGCGCCCTATTCCCGCAGCGGAAGTGTGCATTATGCTCATTAAAATCTGCGGGTCGTTTGAATGTTGCGGCCGGTGCGCTGATCTAGAAAGCGCCGGCGTTTATCCGTAGATTGTGGTCTAATTGCCGGCCGCATTGACGGCTTTCGCGGAACGATCGCTTTACTCTCAGCACCGTCGCTTTCTTTGGCCACGACGGGAATAGGATTACGAATAAGTGCGAATAAATTCGTCGTGGTCCGAGCGGTCAATGAGGTCAATTCTGTTTCCTGTCGTGCGCGTTCAATTACTTATTAGGCCCAATGGGACGGACACGGTCGCGATATGTTGAACCGTTCGCGTGGCAATGACGTGGAAATAATTATATTTTATTAACAGTTCGTGCGAACTCGTCAAATTGATATTGCGAGCGCGAGGTCAGCGCCGGCTTTAGATCGCGATTATTACAGTGCTCACGTTTCTCCGCAATTTGCCTCATCTGAACTAATTTGCATGTAATGCTGAAACTGAGCAACCGGATTGAAACAAGTTGGAACAACCACATCGAGGCTGCACTGTTAATTATGGAGATCACTAATAGGAATGCATTACCTCGTTACGAGCTATCAGTTTGTGTAAAATTAATTTCAACGGCAATCATAATTATTATGATCGATAGTAATATTATTTAAAGACTAATGGCATTAATATTGACATTAATATGTTTGAAAGCTAATTTGTTTTATTTTTTCAATGTACTTAAAATGTGTAATATTAGCACAATGATTTCAATATTAATAGAACTAAATAGCGTCCTTAAATATCGGGAAAAAGAATCCTAAATGAAAAAAGTTATTCCAAAGGATAAACATTTTAATTTTGTGAATATACTATCGAAAGTTAACAATTCGATGTAAAAATAATTCATTTACGTGTACAAAGTTAACTCGACTATTTTAATTGTTTGTTAGGACGATTCAGTAACGTTTAATTGTCATGCCTTTTATCTATGTGTGTTTTTAGGGTATACTCTTAAAAGTTTATTCCTAAACAGTACAGCTATTCGTTGAAAAAATGAATACCTTTCTAATGCAAAGAAACTAACGAATATTATATAATTACAGGTTTTCAAGCATCGGAAGCATCTGACTGGGGATATTGGGGCAAATATGGTAATTATACGATGATTACGACAAAAGTTTTACACGCTGTGTACAAATCCGTGCAAATATATTCGTAATTCATACATTGATGTCACACAATTCTTCGATAAATGAAAGTTGGCGTTCAAAAATTAAGCTCTTATTTAAACAGAAACAAAGCCTTGTTAATATTAGACCAGGATCAAGGAGAGAATGATATGCTTCTACATTATCTTTTATTAGAAAGTTTAACTATGCAATATAATAATTTTGTCTTGACAGTGATACACCTTACAAGAATGTATAGAATTGTACGAAGGAACATAAATATTGAAATGATAAAATCGATCACGAGATGATGAGAAGTGTTTCACGTGATTTCAATATCAATGTTTGTGGAATTTTATTCTCAATAAGCGCAAAATGTGATAGATTCAATTTTCCTCATGTAGCTTATATGGAACTTACATTCAAGTCATTAGCGACCTGACAACAGCAGCCTTGAGTGTCAGTTAGAGGTATTTGAAAACTAAAGTCAGGTATATTGGTACAACATAAAACAAATTCAATCATCTAAATAAAAAGATAATATTTGACAGTACGCCATGAGACTCGAAAATGCAAGTAATTTACGATAAATTTTATACCTGTATTATAAATTAATGTATTTATACGTGTTTATTACGTCAGAAAGTTCTGATTTATTTTATCTAATATGTTTTATATACGAATTATTATCTACGGACTTCTGTAATGTTTATATATGTATATTACATGATCATCATCAATATAAAAAATACGTTATCACTAAGAGTTTATTCATGATATCTGCATTTACGCCTGTCCTTCGCTGATATTGTTTGTATTCGTGTACGTACAAATTGAATAAGTTCAAATTTAACTGTAAAACTAAAGAAAAATTACCCACTTAATTTTTACGAAGGCAAATTTTAATAAATATTAATATTCAGATGGTATATTTAAAATATATAAATGTTTTGTTTCATGTTGTACACAATCTCTCTGATTATAATCTCTCTTCAATACTATGCTGAATATTTTAGCTGGCATTTATTTCGACATAAATGTAAATTAATAATGTACCAGGAGTTTAATCTATGTATTTTATAATAAGATTTTATAGATATTTGTCTTAATTTTTGTTACAAGTTTAATTATTGCAAATGAAGTAAAGAAGACAAATCACACAATTGACTCGACCAAGAAGAGTAGAAGGTCTTATGATCTTCCATTAGATCAGGTCTCGTGAAAGCAATTTGTATCAACCGTGACTATCGTCGACAATCATCTTGAACATAAGGACTTTGCACTTCAGAATATGCAAATACCGTGGATTATCTTGTTAGAGTTTTACTTTAATAAATGGTATAAATAGATAAAGGATGTAGTGTAAAAATGGAATATATGAGTATACAGACGAAACGTACAAAAATAAGGTCATTATCAAAGTACAGGAAAAACTGTATATCGGGGAATTTTGTTACGGATGACATATTGTTTATTTCTTCCGTACATACTGTGAGTCATCATTGTCTTCCTGCTTCGAACAGTAATTCGATACTAGCTAATTGTAGCGTGTAACCTACCAATAATAGTGACGATATAAGTTCGGAATGTATTATTATCATTAAAATAGCACGTTCGCACGTTCACCGCCAGTACACATTAGTTTTACCGCGAAAGCGATTCAAAATAAGATAACATTTAATGACGTATCCATTTAGATTTTTAAAAATCCACAACATGAAAAAGGTAGTAATAATGATATTAATTTGTGACTGTAAATGACTGTGAATAACTATAACTACTATATCTTTAATATTAATTTAAGAATAATTCGTATCTTGCTGTAGTTGCAATTATATAATTGCAATGATATGAAATAACGTGATAAAAACTCTTTATGATATTCAATGCTATTATACTTTATAAGTGACACTACTGTCTACATGCTATTTAAATTTTTAAATGGTTGCATAGGCCCAGAAAACTGGACGGGAATATGTAAGACAGGAAAAAAACAGTCGCCGATTGATATCGTGACGGAAGATGCCTTAAGACTTGATCTCGGCGCTCTTAAATTCGATCGATACGACTTCGCGTTTTCTGGCATGCTGACTAACAACGGACATTCTGGTAAATAAATATTGTAATATATTACTTCAATCAGTGTTCGGTTGCACATTTTACTACAAAATTTTCCTAATGTATCATATTAAATCAACATCAATACGAGTTTGCAATATATTCCGCATAAATTCCGCAATGATGCAACTGTATTCTTTACGTACTTTTAATATTTTCTAATTGAAATTTTTTTATAGTGGAAATTCGACTTGACGGCGTGCCAATCCATCTCAGTAGTAAAACACTGTCGTCAGTATATGTTCTGGAACAAATGCATTTTCATTGGGGCGCAGAGCATACTGTGGACGGCGTACGTCACCCGCTGGAATTGCATTTAGTGCATTATGATAAAAAGTATACGAATATTAGCGAAGCCATGCAACACGAAGGCGGGCTTGCCGTGGTCGGTGTTCTATTTGAGGTGATAATACGTTACTTATTTTCACTTCTTTCCGCACTGAATCTTTTCCCAAGTGTGTATGGACGCAATGTTAACACTTGATGTCACACCGAGTCAAAATGACTCAGACTTTGACTTTGGCGTAAAATATCTTTTATGCAGGTTAAAAATGGTACAACTAACACCATTTATATAAGTTCATTTTTTTCAAAATTGTTTTCTTCAAGAATTTGTTCAACATGATGCTAGTTCAAGTATTAATTTTTTCTAATGAAAATATAATTTTTAATGTTTGAAGTTTATAATTTTTTCAAATAAACATAATTAATAGTTTCTAAACAGCGGCTCACTGAAAATTGGCTTGGGTCAAATTGACTCGCAATCAGTGTGACGGCCGAAACAAAGATGTGACAACCAGGTGTTAATTGATATTTTGTTATAGTTGAGCAATAATGACAATCCGGATCTGTCGCCGATCGTAGAAGCGACGAAGATGGTGTCGAATTGGGTGGGACACAGCATGGTACGCATAAGGTCTAAGTTGATACCTTTATTGTTTCTACCAAAGGATCATACGACGTATTACTTTTACGAGGGATCGTTAACTACACCCGGATGCCAAGAATCTGTTTTGTGGTTTGTTATGACCGAGAAACTCAAAGTGTCGGAAGCGCAGGTAATTTGAATATAAAAATGTATAAAATTGTATAAAATATTTGTTTTTGTGAGCATTAACTTTTTGAACGTTATATATTAATCTTACTTAGAATTAACCTACCATCAGGGTTGAGAAAGAAAAAAAATACTCTGCTTGCAGATGAATGTATTCAGAAACGTGGAGAGCAGCAATGGCACGCTAAAGTTCAATCACCGACCTGTTCAAAACCTCAACAACAGAAAAGTGTACCATCGCCTAGAGGGATATGTTAATGCATCCCAGGGTATGACCTGGAGTGTCTACCCACTTATCAGTGCTCTCCTAAGCAGACTTTTATACCAGAGTTCTTAATATGAAATAACTGAGTGCCAATCCGGATTTGATGTTACAATGCTTACAATGCGATAATTATGTGATATCATTTATTGCACTCACTGGACACCGAGATGTGCATTTATTATGATAAATTTACGCGCTCGTATAACTGCATATTTGGAAAACAATGTGTTTACCCCCCAAAAAAACCAATGAAACCTGCAGGACTATTATCAACATGATAGTCATCTCATATTGTACATAAAGATAAGATATATAGGTATATATAATTTTTACAAGCAGTGAAGAATTCCCTTCTTATAATTCGCTTTTCAATTTGTTGAACATATTAGGTTCGAATTTTTTACTAGTTAAATAACAAATATTTGAGTAACAGTGCATGCAGCATTCTTTTTGTATAAACAGTTTATACGATACAACAATTATCGCAGTATATCGCTATTTAACATTATCGAATATATTTGTAATGTACATACATAATTGATATTAACAATAATTGAGAATTTGATTTGCGAGCTTATGCTAAAACCAAATATAAAATGAGACGTACAGCTCATTTTTATTTAAAAAAAATATATATGTTCCTATTTCTATAGAAATAAAAATTATTTTAAAGATAATACTATATTATCCTGATTTATGTAACTTTATTTAATAATGACGGATTTTTAGCCAAACATAAAGTGAATCTAACTATCTTGGCAATTCTAAATTTCCAATTTTGTTTTATTTTATATTATTTTTTTACAAAATTTTGCTAATCAGTCATACATTAATTGGAAAAATAAAAGCATATTTTATATTTTATTTCTAAAATTGTTCTAGTTTAATTTGTTCTTCGTAATATGAAAGGTATCAAAAAATATTAGTATGGAGAAGAATTAAATTCAATTTGATTAAGAGATAAGTTACATGAACTAAGTTATATTAAGGTCACAAAATATTTTTTAATACCATTTCTAGAACATTTTTTTATTAAAATATAACACTTGCCGTATAATCGGTTAACATTTAATGAAAATGTATCAGTATAAACTGTACCTTTAGACAAAGTAGCACCAAAATCACTTAATATTTGTAGTTTGTTTGTTGTTGCTTGTGATATGTCTTAGATCACTGTGTATACGCCAAACAACGATAGTATCAGATGATAGCGTCAGATAATACCAAGTTTTGTGACGTCTCCCGTTTCTACTGGTTCTACAACATTTGGTGGAACATAAGATAATTGCCGCGATAAATGTAAGGATTTATATGAGGAACTTAATAATCATTTATGCTCTTAATAATAAGCCCAATTGAAAGTACAGAGCTACAGAGATGGTTTGATAAATGACAAACCATCGCTCAGTGCATAGTGCATCTTTATGAGCGTCTCTTTGTTCCCACTATTATACGATGGAAACTGTCATAAAATCATTATCTTTGTCAAAGGCAATATTTAATAATTCTACAGTATTTAATATCCGATATATCCACACAATAATCACAGAGCAGAAAGAGGCATGAAGGAAGAGAAATGCCATCCTTTGTCATATGACTGTCCATAATGTATTAGTAACAGACAGGAAGAGGTCAAGGAAATTATAAATTCCTTGACATAGAATTAAGTATCATTTTGAAATACCATAGGAAAAGTTATTACATTTTTACTTATAAAGAAAGAAACGACAGCGGCAGCACGTGAGACAGATATCACTGGAAGAGAACACGAACAATTGAAGTCTCAATCTTTACACGCTGCGTTTGCCAAGATATTTCTGGTTTACCACGACAAGAAGGGAATGAATTTCAGAAATGTAAATCTTTTAAACAGTCGAGTGAACATGCTCTCGGGGAATTTATTACCGGTAGCAGCTAATAATTCGCAGTTCTCGGCGATCTGTCGTACTTACAGCATCGCCGTGTGGTTAATAGAATTGATTCACACAATCGCGTTGATCGCCGGAGTTATCTTGTCACCGAATGGAACGGACGGCACTATTGCCATCGTGGTCACCGTGGAGGCGTCTTTCATGCTTACGCGTCTTTATTCACGCAAGAAGCTGATGGATAAAATAATCCAAGGCATGAATGATATCTTGCAAAATGCGGACGAGATTATGAAAGACATCATAAAATCGGCCCTGAAGCCCATAATAATGCCGTTTGTAATATATGGAGTGACCAGTGTGATATCTGTCACGATATGGACCGTACAGCCAATCGTATTGGTCTTCGAGAAATCCACCTTTTTCTATACAGATTACAATTTGCCAGCCGCTTTCGGCGCTGAGCCGTTCTCCAGCCGCGTGCTGATTCCTTCGACAATTATTATGACAATTGGCAGCGTTTATCTGTTTCTTAAAAAATTCGGCGTGGACGTGTACATGATGCATTTGGTGTTGATGTTAACGGCGCAATATCGATACGTGGCGGTGAAGCTCACGATACTATTTCGGGATCTACAGAATTGTGACGAATCTGAAAAGAAACATCGCCCTATCGAGAATCAATGGGTCGAAAGAGAATTAAGAAAATTATGCCAGCACCAGAATACTGTTTTAAAGTAAGTCATAATAATATAATTACTGAAGTAGATATTGAATAATGGATAGAGATGCATTTGAATTATTGAACAACGGAATTTTTGCCAATTAATTACACGATTACATATTTGAGTCGCTGATTTAGAAATATAAAAATCTTTAAATCTTCTTTTTCTATAAACCTTCTTAACTTTAACGTTTAGTAGAGTCTTAAAGTTTTTATTAGACACGTGATTTTTTAAATAATATTTTGTATACCCTGTACACTTCTTTCAGCATGTCATTTATATTAAAGGAACTTCTATCGGTAAACTTTAGCCTACTCTATATCAACAACGTGTTTCGATTCTGTTTCATTGGTATTTTACTAAGCTCAGTGAGTATAAATTACTGATGTTATTATTACACATATATAACTATAATCTTATTCTCTCAAAGAAAAATTTAGTAACTTTAAAAAGTTGATTCTTCCTAGTAACTCGAGATATTCTACTATATTAACAGATCTATTAATATAGATTAATCATACAATGTTATGCTTGTTTATTTAAGAAAATTGTTTAATTAATGGATTTCTACTGGGAATTTGAAAGTAAATTTTTTAAATAATTTCTGCACGTTATATGAATTAGATTTTTATTAAATTAAAAATTTAAATCGGTAATTTTCAATTACAAAAGTAAAAATGTTGGCTTTGCTCAGATATTCTTTACTTGAAATTTTCTGACAAATGTTTTATGTGTTTTAGGTACCATCAATGACTCTTGCAGAAGGAGTTTCAGTCATCTCATTTGCACTTGGTTCCCTAACGCAATTCTTTCTGTTGTGTTCTTCTGTACAAACATTATCGGATGCAGTAAGAGTTATCATTTTACATTATATAAATCACTTTTACTTTGCAATTAATATATTGATATCAAAGAAGATATATTATTCATTTCTTGATTTTTATATCATTATTTCAGTTTACTGTTGCACATTTAAACATTAAATATACGAAAATGTAATCTAACCATAAAAAGAACAAATAATTTGTGCAATTTTATTTAACTGTTGTATAAATAATCAAGATAATGGATAATTATGAATTATAAATATTGATAACAAGATTAAATAAAAAATTGTAATTTATAACTATGATTAATTATGTTCTATTTTTGCACTAACTATAGAGCACCGAAGTAACAGATAAAGCATTTGATGAAGGCTGGTATCAATTTAGACCATCAATCAAACGTACATTTATATTATTGATATTGGCAAACAATCTTGAATGCAAAATTGCAACAATTGGAAAATTCAACTTATCTTTGCCTTCATTTATGACGGTAAAATTTATCATATATGTATATTTCTTATATGTGTTTTAAAGTAATTAATATCTTAGGATTAAGTCTTTTACATGGTATTCTTAATGCTGTTTTAGATCATGAACCAATCATATTCAATCGCTCTCCTGTTTTTAAGAGCAAAATGAAAAATCATATTATGCACGCAATAAAATTTAATGATGTAAGGTAGAAGATAGTTACTTGTGAGGTAGAAGATAGTTACTTGTGAGACAAAGAAAATTGAGACTAATATTTTAAAGACTAAGCACATAAATAAATTTGTTTTACATAACAACATAAAAATTACTGTAAAAATAATAATGAACTACAATACATGGAAACATGATGTTGCTAAAAGACTAGTTCTTTGTCTCCTATTGCTATCTTTTTTATTATTCTCACAATAGAAAATAACCAAATAACTGAGTTAAAGATTTAAAATATTTATAATATCTGTGACACTTACTTTAATTTAACAAAAAGTATCAGCACATATAACTTAAATATATGTAATTGTATTTAAAAAATACACATACGTCTTTATATATTAATGTATGTCTAATTCTTCTGAGAAATTTATCAACGATGATAAAAACATGCTCGTTTAGTAATTTTGCGAACAATAATTTTGATTTTCTATTAATCATTTTTTCTGTTAATTTCAGTTGTTTCATCAAATTTTTGCCTTTTTATTTTTCATATTTACTAACACGAACTTTTGCATTATAAATTTTACTATTCTACTCAATATTATAAGATAAAAGAATTAAATTTTAGAATATGTATAAACTTATCTTTAATTTTGGCGCAACGTCCCATATCACTATTTTGTAGTAATTTTGTAGTAAAAATAAGTTAAAAATATCAACGTTTTGTCTTTTTACGGCCGCGGAAACATCTAACACTCTTTTTGACTTTTTTAAAACTTTCAACTTACCATAAAAACGGGACATATTTCATGAAAAAACATAAGTTTATTTTTTACCGCGAATAAGGTGGTCTCATATAACTTAATATTCCTAGTACGTCACTTTTTGTACACTTTTTATTGTAGATAAATGAGAATACTCCAATCAACAATTCTCCATACCAGACCATAGCACCAGTTAGTATATCAAGTTCTGCGACAACTCTCAGTTCCATTAGTTCTACAATTAACGGTACATAAGATAATGGCTGTGAGAATGTAGAGATGAAGGGTCGTGACAATGTAGGAATTAAATTCCGAGGGTCTTAATCATTTATACTCTTAATAACAGAGTCAAAAATAAAGGGAACCAATCCTGTATCTTATAATGTAGTCAAAATGCAAACTGTCCCTTTAAAAAGAGACAAACTGCTTAATTTTAGCATTTTCATTATATTAAGATACACAATTGACCCCCACGGCTATATTCCACGAACTATCGCTAATTGTATAGCGATCTTTATGAGATTCTCTTTGTTCCTGTTATTATACGTTGCAGACCCTCACAAAATCATTATCTTTGTCATAGATATGGTCAGACAATATTTAATATTCGATATGTCCACACGATAATTACAAAGTAGAGATACAAGAGAAATTAATTGACAGGAAAGAAATGCCACCCTTTGTCATACGACTACTCATTACAGAGGGAGAAATAAAGGGAATTATAAATTCCTTCAAATATAATTGCCCATAGTTTTGAAATACTAAAGAAAATGTCATTCATTTCGCTTCTAAGAGAAGAAGTGATAGCGGCAGTGCGTGAGGTAAATATCACCGAAAGGGAAAGCATGAACAACTGAAGTTTCAATTCTAACATTTCTCTGCATTTGCCAAGATATTTCCGACTTGCCATACATGAATACACGACACAAAGGGAATGGATTTCAAAAATGTGAATCCTTTAAACAGTCGAGTGAACAAGATCTCAGGGAATTTATTCCCAATAACGACCAATAAGTCACAATTTTCAGTAACGTATCGTATTTACAGTGCCATTGTATGGTTAATAGAATTGATCTACATGATTGGGTTGATTTCCGGGCTTATACTATCACCAGCGGAGAAGATTTTGAAGGACGGAATTCTCTCCATTGTGGTGATCATGGAGACATCTTTTATGCTCACGTGTCTTTATTTACGCACAAAGCTGATGAAGGAAATAATCCACAAGATAAACAATATCTTGCAAAATGCGGACGAGACTATGAAGAATATTATAAACTCGAAAATAAAACCTATAACAATGCCGTTCGTAATATATGGTGTGACCAGTGTGATATCTGTCGGGATATGGCACTTACAACCGCTTGTGTTGGTCTTTGAGAAATCCACCTTTGTCTATGCAGATTATAATTTGCCAACTGCTTTCAGCCCCGAGCCATTCTCCAGCCTCGTTTTAATTCCCTCAACCGTTATTGCGGCACTTGGCGGCATTTATTTGTTCCTTAAAAAATTCAGTGTGGATATTTACATGATGCATTTGGTATTGATGTTAACAGCCCAATATAGATACACAGCGACAAAGCTTAAGATGCTATTTCAGAATCTACAGGACTATCATTACAAATCTGAAGAAACGCATATTCCTGTAAAAGCTCAATCGGTGAAAAAAGAATTGAAAGAATTATGTCACCATCAGAATGCTGTATTAAAGTAAGTCATAATAATGTGATTATTTAAATAGATATTGGGAATAATGAAGAGAAATAGATTAGCGTTCCAGTATCTCATTTGACTTAAAAGGGTACCGAAAGTATTGTTTTGCCTTTTAATTATACAACTACACTTTTGAGTCACTGATGATATAAAGGAAAATAAAATTTTACAAATCCTATTTTCTACAGATCTTCTTAACTTTATGTATCCCTAGTAGCACAGTGCATTAGTTAAACTTTGGCTAAACATTGGTCGAATATTGGTTATATTGAACCAACGTTTAGCCAATGTTTAGCTAATGCACTGTGCGACTAGGGGTAGAATATTAAAGTTTTTGTTACTCTATGTAGCTTTATTTTACAGTATTTTATCCACTTTGTTCTTTTTTTTAGGATATCATGTATAGTAAAGGAACTATTATCTATCAACTTCAGTATACTCCATATTAATAATGTGTTTCGCTTCTGTTTTTTGGGTATCTTTTTAAGTACAGTGAGTAATAATAACATCATTATTACAAAAGAACAATTTGTTACAGTAACTCTTTTTTAATATAGATCAATTTAATATTTGTCGTACAGTATCTTAAAGTTAATATCACAACTTTTATTTTAAATTATTAATAGATTTCTAATGAGTAGAATAATCTCGATTATGAAATATCAAGTTTATTTTGTGAAATTGCTGGAAATCTATAGACAGAATTTAGAATTTTAATAGCTCATTTGAAGAGAATTTAATAAGTTTTAAGTTGCTAAAGTGTAAAATTGAATTTTTTAAATTAATTTCATTAATTTATAAAATTTTATTCAGTTATTATTTTTTCTGAAAATTAGAAAAATATGTAAAAAGCGCTTTATGCGGAATCGAAAAAGTATGCTCCTATATCCCTCGAGAAAGCGTTAATATAGTGCTAACTACATCAATATTGCGATTAGAAATTATTAAATGTTTCTGAAGCACAAATGTAATAAAGAAGCTTATTTACAATAATCGCAAACTCACTTGTTGGATTGATTTCCGGGGTTATACTATCACTAGCGGAGGTTTTAAAGAATGGCACACTCTCCATTGTGGTGGTCTTAGAGGCACCTTTGATGCTTATACGTCTTTATTTACGCAAAAAGCTAATGAAAACCGATGTACTCCGAATGTACTCTTCTTTATGGTCAGACTCTACAAAACTTGAAAGTTTCTAACAATTGTTTTATTTATTTTAGATACCATCAATGACTTTTCCAGAAGCAGCTTCAGTCGTCTTCTTTGCAATTGGTTCGCTACTACAATTCTTTTTGTTATGTTCTTCTGTTCAAACATTATTAGACGCGGTAAGATTTATCACTCCATTATATAAATTAGTTTTATTTTATGAACAATATTATTGTTATTAAAGAAGACATTATTAATGTGTTAAATGTAGTGTGTCCCATTTCAATCACGTGCCTGATAATTATATGTATACTCTCTTTATTATTAAATTTAAAAAAGTTTAATTTGTACAATTTTGTTTGAGTATACTTATATAATATAATACTTCACATAATTATGAATTTTAAATGTCTGTGATAGGATTAAATAGAAAATATGTAAGTTATAACTATGATTTAGTATGTACTTATTCTATATTTTTATAGAGTACCGAAGTAACAGATAAAGCATTTAATGAAGGCTGGTATGAATTTGAACCATCAGTTCAACGTACGTTTATATTATTGATAATGGCAAATAACTTAGAATGTAGGATTGCAGCGATTGGAAGATTTGATTTATCTTTGCCTTCATTTATGACGGTAAAATTTATTATATACATATAACTACTTGTTACATGTGTTTTGAAATAATTAATACTTAAGTCTATTATTGTATTTTCTAATGGTATTTTAGATTATAAACCAATCATATTCAATCGCTCTCCTATTTTTAAGAGCAAAATAAAAGAACCATATTCCGCAGGTAATAATAATATTAAATTTCGTAGATAGAAAATAAATAGTTACTTGACACAAAGAACATTAAAGCAAATATTTTTAAGAAGAAACACGTAAATAAATTGTATTGCATAATAATTTAAAGATTATGGCTATAACAGTGTATTGAATTACTATTAAAACATAAAAATATTATAATATTTTTCAAAAATTTACTCTTTGTGTCCTATCACTGTTTTCTATTATTCTTTAAATAAAAAATATAAAGTGTCTAAATTTATATATTTAATTTGTTATATTTATAATATCTGTACCATTTACTTTGGTAAAAAAGATGTTAGCACATATAACTCGTGTATTCAATTGTATTGAAAAAATATATGTTTATATTCATGTTTGCCTAACTAGAACAATACATTACGCGCGCTACGCCTCATTTAGCATTTGCCTTATTTTTACAATTTTTAGGGTAGATTGTGCCATTCTTGATAAGTTAGTTACAACTCAAGTATTCAAAATTGTATTAAAATATAGATATTTATATAAATTTTTGTCTAATTTTTCTGAAAAGTCTATCAACGACAAAAAACACGAAATTGTTATATTTCCAACATTATTAATTGTTGTATTCTGTTAATTATTTTTTACTTGTTAATCATTATTTTCCGACTACTTGTTAGTCTACATATCTCATTGTCAATATCTCAGTCAATATATTTGATTTATCCTCTTCGACAACACGTACGTATACTTTCGAAAATCTTAAAATATCTTCTATATTTCTAGAATAAACAAAAGATATAAAATAATTGCTATTTCGTATCGTGACTAGAACTACGTAGAGTGTATAGTCACATTTTCTTGGCAAATGACTCTTATACTTGTCTAATATACTTGTAAATTATATATTATTGTGATATAATTTTAACCAGGAAAGAAAAGGCTAGTACATACTTTAATCCTGTGATAACCATGCATTTGATTTGTACAGCATCCAAATTTTTACAATACTTATTTTACTCACTGCAAACAAAGCCGCAGTTTACTGTCGACTGAGAGTTAGCATTAGGCACTATGAATCCCTTGCGGTTCTGCGGCGAACATAGTTCTATAAGATAATTATCACTTCATATCACAGGGACAATTGCAAGAAAATTAGTGATCATATTTACTTTGCGAAGTACCGAAAAAGTCTTCGTTGAGTACAGCATGGTTCAGTACGACATTCCTTTATAGGATACATTTACACATTGATCACAGAATAAAAGTAATTACAACGAAATGAATAGATACTGTCACTGCTTGCCGTACGACTGTATACAATGTATTAATAAAAGCTAGAGAAATAAAGCATCAAACAGAATAGCGAATTATGGAAAATAGAGGGACACTGGGGTAATCATTTCTGAAATACGAACAGAATAGATCTATACCTCTCTATAAAAAGAAACATTCGCAGTGACAGAACAGGAGTTAATGTAATATCAAGCAATCAAAGCTTAAGATTTCGTGGCTACACTTTTCAAAATAATTTTAATTTATTGCGAGCAAATTATCGCGACACTAAAGAAGATGGACTTCCAAAATGTAAACCCCCTAAATGTAAAATTAAATATACTCTCAGGCAATTTGTTACCAATGACTAGCGATAATTCGTCGTTTCCCTTAGTGTGGAAAATGTATAGCATTGTCATATGGCTAATCGAACTGATTCAAACCAGCGCAACAATCTGCGGATATGTATCAGTGGCAAATAGTGACACTCTGCAGGATAGTGGAACGGTCAGCTTCGTGGTGAGCATTCAAGTATTTATTTTGCTCACGCGAATGTACGCCTCCAGAGATCTAGCGAGTCAATTAATCCAAAAGTTCAACAGCTTTCTGCGCTCTGAGGACGAGAGTATGAAAAGCATTGTGAATTCGACCATGAAACCATTGGAGATTCCGCTAGAATTTTATAGCATAGGTGGTACTGCATCCGTAATACTATGGTGCTGTTTACCATTCTTTCTGATTATCAAGAAGAAATATTTCTTCTACGAAGATTATGCAATGATAGCAGCCTTCTCGAAACAGCCATTTTCGACCAATGTTTTTGTGCTAGGCAATATTATGGAAGGTATTTCTAGCGGTTACATGTTTCTAAAGAAAGTTGCCATAGACATCTATATGATAAATATCGTGATGCTGATGACGGCGCAGTATCGCTACGTTGCAGTGAAGCTCGCGACAATACTTCGCAACGATGCTTCAGAAGAGAATGAGAACTGTGAATTCCAGAAGGAGCGTTCTCTATTGACGGAGAAAAAGATGAAGGCGTTATGTCGACATTATAACACTGTAATTCTGTAAGTAAACATTCACAATTTTTACAATTAACGTCGCTTATTTTCTAACTTTTCTGAATCATTACGTATTTCGAAATTTATTACGTAATACGAAATTAAGTTTTTAGTTTCATTGATTAATTACTAATATCAGACAATCATTGCTTTCTTTTCAGCACGATGTTAACATTAAAAAAATTCCTATCTTTGAATATGAGTTATATATACTTGAATAATATCGTTCTTTTCTGTTTCATCGACGTTCTTATCGTAAATATAGTAAGTAAAAACTGATACATAACAGTAAGTATTCTAGAAATACTTTTTTTAACGACCAAAGACAAGGATTTGATGTTATTAAATTATCATGTATTTTGTGTGTCACATTCAGATAGTGTCAAGGGCTTACTTGCAAGTACCCGTGATTGTTATGTATTTATGTGGTACTTTAATACAACTTTATATTATGTGCTTCTGCATTCATCAATTATTAGACGCGGTAAATTTTCCTGCAATATAATTTTATCGCCTTTTCGTTCCAGTTACTATAACAATTCGAACATTTTTTAATTGGTGCGTGACGAAGCTTTTGTTTCACTAAAAGTATAATAACTAACTGTACAAAAAATAACTATTCCTTTAAGAGAAAATAAACACAAAGTATTGTCGGTACTAAAGATTGCACATAAGCATAGGAAATGTTGTTGGTAATTATTTGTGATCTTTTAAATATTATTTTTTGTAAAATTTAGAGTAAAGAAGTAACAGATGAAGCATTTCATGAGAAATGGTATCAATTTGGACCATCGCTAAAATATATGTTCAGGATGATTATGATGGCCAATAATTTAAACAGTAAATTTTCGATTACTGAAAAGTTTAGTCTATCTCTCCCTTCATTTTTATCGGTGAGATTACTAATATCATTATTCAATATTATTACCTGTATTAAATACTGACATTCCAAATTACTTTCCATAAATTTTCGAACAATTGTGTACATACAAATGAGCTATTTAAGCATACTTTTAAATTTCTTTTTCTTCATTCTTATAAGTTTTTCAGATTTTAAATCAATCATATTCGATTGCTCTTTTGCTTTTAAAAATGAAGTGAACATTGACGAGGATATTTATTCCGTTTCGAACATTGCATCTTTATATTCTTTACACAACTTTAGTTTGTAATAAAATTTAATTATATGACTAATCAGTATTGTTGATATTTGTACTACTTGTTTTAGAAGAGAAAACATTACGAAATAAGACTTCATCACTGGCCATTTTGCCATCCCTGAGCGCGCGAAATTCTAGCTTTGCTATTCGAGATGTTTAAACTGTTCCCATTTGAAAATTATTATAGCCTCGACTTTTTCGTATTAGAATTTTCTTCTCAAAATGTTACAAAGTGTTTGTCATTAAAATATTTATCGCCAGTTTAGGTACACCCTGTATAAAAACGTGGTTCTTAGTAGCATAGAACATTATTAACACGTTCTGATTAGCTTAATGTAAACTAAACTGCAGTTTTCTGTCTATTTGGAAGAACGTTTTAAAAGCATTAGCACCGCAACCCCTTTGCCACTAGTAGCTCTACTACATGCTTATACAGAAGTAGTACCATAACATAATTATTACTTTTCAAAGTGCATATGCAGGAAGACGGTGATCCTCCCCTTGTAATAAACGAAATGATATATAGTCTCACATTTAACACCTTTCTTAGTATCGTGAAACTTGTAAGAACTTCAATGTTTCTTCCCGACACAGAGCCGCTTTAAATGTACACATTGTTGACAATATCCAAGTTTCAATATACCTACACAATGATCAGAAAGGTAACTGCATACTAAAGGGACAGAATACCACCGCTTCACGGCACGCACAACATATTAATAAAAAATCAGACAATACAACGGTTTTACGGAAATAATAAAGTTGTGAGAATAGACAGTCGTTGACCAGCAATTTTGAAATGCTAATAGAACGCTTGGACATTTCCGTAAAGGAAAGGTAAGACAGAAATTAGAGACTCGAGCAATCGAAAAGTATCTTATTTTTACCGATTACCAAAGTTATTTCGGTTCGCTGCAAGAGAGCAACATCAAGAGCATGAACTTTTAAAACATAAATCCACTGAATAATTAAGCGACGTACTTGCAAGACAATGACGGTGCGAGTGATCCAGAAGATGAACGATATTCTGCAAGGCGCGGGTGAGACCGTGCAAAATATCGTAGAGTCGGTTCTGAAACCAATGACGGCGCCGTCCAAGTTATATCCATGATATCTGTGGACCACACAGCCAGCCGTGTTTGCTTTCGAAAGAAATACTTTTTATTGCATTGACTACAATTTACCAACCGCCTTCACAGTCCAACTGTTTTCAACGAACGTCTTGAACTCATCAACTTGACGGTAGGCGGTATAATCCGATTCCTGAAAAAGCTCAGCCTCGACATGTGTTGCCGCGCTGTATCGATATGTGCCGGCAAAGCTTACTCTTATTTCGGGATTCGCAGAACTATCGCGATGAACTCGGAAGAGAACATCGCTCTGAGGCAAATGGGTGCAAGAGGAATTAAGCGTTTCGTGCATCAGCATCAAAAGATCATTATACGATAGGCGTAATGCGATTACTGATAGACATTAAATAATTGAAAAGTTTCTACATTAAAAAGTGCCCGATTTGACAGTTTCTCACGTTTTTAAAAATTGTGATGACATTTCCGAAACCTTGCGTTCTTCCAGATATATTTGTTATAGCTGCCAAGTTTTAATACCACATTAGTGATACTTCTATGCGCTTCATATTGTGTGTTAAACTTTTTTATTTTGTACGTATATCTTCTTCTATTTTTCAGCACATTGTGTATTCACGTAAACATACAATCTAAGTTTGAGATTACAATTTACACAAAATTTTATATAAAGCATATTAAAAATGCAATAATTGGAATCTTATTTTAAAATTTTCTTAAAGATTAAATTTAGATTTATCGAATAATTTATTTAAAATGTAAAAATTTTTGCGTAGTAACACACATTAAGCAGTGTAAAGAATGAAAAGTAAGTGATTCAAAACAAATAATCGATTGAAGTTTTCCACATCTAATTTTTCTAAAACATTTGTTCTACAAAAACTCACTTTGGTCGTTATTTCATTCATAGACATAGTTCGAGACGCTTTATAAATTGGCACGTCCAATATATATGTATAACAAACTGTAGATCGATCCTCGGTTGTTGTCTGAAGAAGCTTGCACAAGCTGTAGACAACATTAGATGTTTGGTTTCTTCCGCTTCTTCCCTTACAATAAAGTGCCTCCGCATGCGAAGTGCCTCCTGGAGTACCTACCATAAGATAATCGCCGCTTTATAGCCCCAGAAAAATTACAAAGTAACTGGAAGTCGTGTCCATCCCCTGCTTAAACAAAAGGAAGATATCGTGACACATCTCCAATTTGTCACATATAGTCAAGATGATTATAAACTTCTCCATTTCTATACAATAGACTATAAAAGCTTCCTATTGATGACAGCTAATTTGCCATACTGTCATCATAAAATAAACTTATAACTGCGGTGAAAGGGAAATTATGTTCTCCTATAATGACAATGCATATTATAATATAAACTACAAAGAAATAGAAATTGAAGAGGAATAGAATATCCAAAGGTCGGTTGCGACCAACTTTGAAGTAGCGATAGAAAGTCCCGTGTGTGCTTCTGAAGGAAGGAATAGAATGTGCATGATAATGAAAATGTCAAAGAAAGGTAAATGCAAGTATATATATCCTGAGCACACATTTTAAAATAGTTCCTTATACTAAAGATTAAAGGAATCAGCGTTAAAAAATCGTAGATATAATTAACCAATTAAGTTTTAACGTAGGAAAAAAATCAACTTAAAAAGAGGACGTTATTCACCATATTTCTAAAACAAAGAAATATTAAAAAGTCATCTTTGCAAGCTGTACTTTGTACAATATTTTTCCACTTGTCACCAAAGAAATATTCTTCAAAGCATGGACTTTGAAAACGTAAATCCCCTGAACGTTCGATTAAACAAGTTCTCAGGCAACTTGTTACCAATGACTAGCGACGATTCTCTGTTCCCTGTAACATGGAGAATATATAGCGCTGTTATATGGTTGATTGAAGTAATTCAAACTAGCGCAGTAATTCCCGGAATCTTGTTCGTGCCAAGAGACAAAGCTTTGCAGGACGCAACGGTTGGCATAGTCGTCACCATAGAAGTGTTTTTCTTATTGAGGCAAATGCATGTGCATAGAGATCTTGTGATTCGACTGATTCAACAGCTAAATGAAATACTGCGCGCTGAAGACAAGACAATGAAGATCGTTGTGAGGTCGACCTTAAAGCCGATAGATATTCCGCTCAAATTTTATTGCACGGCTGGGACTGTATCCATACTAGTGTGGTGCTGCATGTCTTTCGCGTTGATCTTCAAGAAGAAATGTTTTCTCTACGAGGACTATAGGCTACCAATAGTTCTTTCGAAGCAACCATTCTCGATTGAGATGTTTCTACTGGGAAATTGTATTGCATCTATTGCCAGCGTGTATATGTTTATAAAGAAGGTTGCCTTGGATGTCTATATGATAAATCTCGTGTTACTGGTAACAGCACAATATCGCTACATTGCGGTGAAGCTCGCAGCAATATTTCGGGAAAACACTCCACCGAATCAGTGTAATGAATTCGAAGAATATCCTACGGTGGATTCATTGACAATCCTGAAAATGAAAGCGTTATGCCGACATCACAATGCTGTGGTTCAGTAAGTAATTGGTGAGCGTTAGCCTATTTTGCGATTAACTATTTTATCCATTTGCTATTTTTTTCCAAATTACTGTTACTTGTCTTTTAAAATTATTCCTCCTTAATCTTACGCGATGCTTATTTATACTTAATATCACATTAAGATGCAGTTTTTTTTCAGGTTAACGTTATTGCTAAAGAAACTGCTGTCTTTAAATATGAGTCTAATGTATATGACAAACGTTTTCATTTTTTGCTTTCTCGACGTCATGCTGATAGGTGCAGTGAGTAACATTTGGCAATAATGATACCAAAAATACTTTCTAAACGATTGAAGATAGATAGTTTATAATAATATAGCAATGTACGTCAAAAATTCAGATATTATCGAAGGCTACCCTAGAAGGAATTATGGTTGTCATGTATATATCTGGCGGCCTAGTACAGCTTTATATTTTATGCTTGTGCGTTAATCAATTACTAGATGCGGTAAGCTTTGTTGAAACATATCGGCACTGTCCTTTCTATCTTCCAGTATGTCTTAATTATTCTGTAACAATCCTGAAAAAGTCTTAAATACATGTCTAATTTCTTATGACATTAAAACAATATCCAGTGTTGAAATAATTATTATATGAAAAAGAGTAGCTACTCTTCAAATTTAATTCTCTGTTTCTTATTGAGCAGAATTCTGAAAATAGAATATCAGTAATAAATATTATATATATAATAAAATAGAATAAAATTATAAGTTATGTTTAATTGTATTCTCTTGAACTGACTTTTGACAATGTACTATATGTACAACAAAACAATATCAACATACTTTTGATATAATTCTACAATTTTTGCCCGAAACATTTTTTGAAAAACGTCTTTTCGAGATATTCGCGTGGATTGATTAAAATGGCCCACCTTGTATATTATATAATCCACGTCGGAATTCAAAATATAACTTTATTTTTAATTTTATACATCATATAAGAAATATTGGAAGATTCAAAATGCAACATACATACATAAAATATTATACACGTATATAAAATGTATATATATATATAAATTTTCCGATATATAAATCAAATTGCAATTTAAAATCTGATATGAATTATAGATCATATAAAGTTGACTATACGTTTTAACATATTGTATAAAATTTAGAGTATAGAGATAACAGATAAAGCATTCCATGAGAAATGGTATCAGTTTGGACCATCATTGAAACATATGTTCAGGATGATGATAATATCTAATAGTTTAGAGTGTAAACTTTCAGTATCTGACAGGTTTAATCTTTCTCTGCCTTCATTCATGGCGGTAAGATTTGATGTACTACTTATATTGAGCATATAGGTATAATATCGATTTTCTAACTAATTTTCTCAATCTTTTAAAAATTTTTTACTTAAATTCCAATACTAATTACTCGTACTTAACTTTTTCCAAATTATCTGTTTTTTCTTACAGATTTTGAATCAATCGTACTCATTCGCTCTTCTATTTTTAAGAATGAAATAAAAATTTACGAGGTACATACGTTTTCTTCTTATTATTTTTTATATTTTATATTTACATTGATAATATAGTACACTTGTATTTCTTATTTCAAATTAATGAAATTCTTATTTCAGTTCTAAAGAACGGCGGAACTTAATTAAGGTTAATAAAATAATTAAATAAAAGTTAAAAACTTATTTACATATTATATATACAGTATATGTTACTCAGGTATAAAGTAATCACCTTAAAAAATAACTTTTTTTAAAAAAAGATTTGTACCACTATTGATCGCTCTTGTAACGCGAGCGTCACGTTGTGTCAAAAATGTGAAAAGGAGATTTTCCCTGCCTGGTTGACGTTGACGTCGACGACACGACGATGTTTCTTAAAAAATCTTACATCAAAATTTCACAATTCGGATTTTGCATTGCAATGTCCACAATAAGAAAAATAAAAACCTTTTTTTATTATGCAAATAGATTCAAGCTATCGATTGAACCTATTTACAAGTTCAGGATCAGCCGTTGTCGGGATCCAAAAATCTGAGAGCCCGTCAACTCGCGTACTCGCGTAAAAGGTCGGTTTCGCGCGCGCATTCTAGCTGCCCTTATACTTGGAGCGAGACACTACCGTGTCCTGTGATAGAATATTATTTACATGTTCGATACTACTGATTTAACTTAGAAAAGTATTTTGTCGTCTCCCGATAAAGTGCGCATTAAACAGCATTAGGCACTGCGATCTCTTCGCAACCTTTCAATCCTGCGATATAGTCGTGCACGCAAAGGAGTACTATAAGATAATCATCGTTGTAGAATACGAATAGAAGGAAGCCACTGATCATATATATAAATGTCCTTGTGATAGATATAATGAAGATTGTAGTCCTGTGCATTCAATGCCGTTCTCGAGAGATATCGCGACATTTATAAACTACATTTCTTCACGACAGAGAATAAATAACGACTTCTACAAATTGTCATTTATTCAGAAACGTTATTGACACTACGAAAGTTTCGACGCACACTGATTACAGGACAAAACATTTTTAGTCATAATGAAAAGAGCTTAGACGTATATTATTTTACAAGCCCGAGTATCGAGTATAAACTCAAAGGGAATAATAAAACGACGAAGATCGACGATATTCGCGAGTTACTCCTGAATTCCGATAGAAGAGCCGCGTATTTTCTTGCAAGGAATAGGGAAACGTGCGCGCGATATTGCGATACGAAAGACACGTGAAGTGAAGTGAGTATAAGGTACGGAGGTTCACACAATTCCAATGGACAATATCGTGAGCATGGACTTCCAAAACGTGAATTCTCTAAATATCCGGCTGAACTTGTTCTCGGGCAATCTGCTACCGATGCGCAGTAGCAACTCCTCTTTTCCACTCTTCTGGAAGATACTCAGTGCCTTCGGGTGGCTATCGCAATTCATTTTAGCAATCGCGATGGTACCTGGATCCATCTACGTGCCAATAGAAAAGCTTCTAAAAGATGGCATGGTCGCTTTCATAGTCTTTACAGAACTAGCCTTCATGCTCCTGCGAATTCGTTCTCGCAAGAATCTGGTCTGTCAATTAATTCAAAGACTGAATGAGATTCTGCATTCTGCCGACGAAACTATGCGGAATGTTGTGACAGCGACATTGGAGCCGGTAAAGACTCCACTCAACTTCTACTGGTCCGCCGGCGTGATATCGATAATAGTATGGAGCTGTATTCCATTAGTCTTGATATTCGAGAAGAATCTGTTCCGTTACGAGGATTACAGAATGCCTGTTGCTTTCTCCAAGCAGCCATTCTCACTTCGAATCTTTCTACTAGGAAGCCTGTTCATACTGATCACCGCGATATATCTGTTTTTAAAGAAAGTCAGCGTGGATGTATACATGGTGCATCTGGTCTTGATGTTAACCGCACAATATAGATACATAGCGTTGAAAATCGCGAGGCTATTTCAAGACAAAAGTGAAGGTAATCAATTCCAATCGCAACATTCTTCTGGACTAAGTCGAGGAACAGAAAAAGAAATAAGAGCACTGTGCCGACATCACAATAATGTACTACAGTAAGTAACTGAAAGTTTAATCAGTATGACACTCTCTAGGAATGCTTATGCTTAGAACATAACATAATTAACATGCTTACTATAATTATTATGGTAAATTAACGCTTATTGAGTTATTTGTTTATATTTTATATTAAAAAACTTTTTTGCTATTTGTTTTCTATGAAACTTATATTTAAATTTATCAGTACATTTTATGGCGTTTTATAAATATATTATATGCTTTCTTTCAGGATAACTTTATTGTTAAAAGAATTACTGTCTTTAAACTTTAGTTTAATACACGTGAACAGCGTCTTTAGATTCTGTTTTATCGGTATTATGTTGAGTACAGTAAGTAATATTTGTTAATACACTAGTGACGTTAAAATATGTGTATATAATATTTTATTTGTTATTCTAAATTAATTATATTATAATTGCTTAGTAACATAATGAGCAGTGTAAGTAATAATAATTAGTTACTGTTAATTGCTCTCCCTCTCTCTCTCTCCCTCCCCCTCCTTCCCTCTCCCTCTTCCCTTCTAAAAATGAGTTCCAAATAAAAAACATGCACAGTCATCAGTACAGAAGTTGCGACACTTTTTTTGTTAATGAGTTTACAAACGCGCAATTAAATTCGGAATGCAAATCACTGTCCACGCTCATGCGCGGATCCTGAATTTGATTGCGCGTTTGTAAACTCATTAACAAAAAAAGTGTCGCAACATCTGTGCTGATAACCGTACACAATTACTAAATTATAGCAAGGGGATATATTGACTATAATATATTAATTAAGATTTATTTTTAGATAACGTCAACAACGTTGTGGGAAGCGATTTCAATTATCATGTATTCGACAGGTGCGATAGTGCAACTATATATTTTGTGCTCTTGTGTGCAGCAATTGTTAGAAGCGGTAAATTTTTTATTTAACATTTACAATATTTTCTTTCTAATTCATTAGTATGAATTAGAAACAAGTTATAAAATTAAAACATTGCCTGATTAATTATTATGAATAGTTATCTTCGTAATAGTATATCATCATAAGCAGGTCTTCTCGCTTTAGTGATAATAACATGAAAGTATTGGTTTAAAAAAGCTAGACATTATAGTTTTTGTAAATTGTGAATTGTGTTTGATATGTAATGATCATATTACAAGAGTAAGTAAAAAATTATCTGCACTTTTCGATCTACAATTTATTTACACAAAAATAGGGGTTCAATGTGTACATAATTTTTTAACATAATCTCCTCCCTTGGCAATGCACTTGATCCACAAGCTTGCGTATTCCTTCCAAAAAGAAGGTTTTCGGTTGATCGCAAAGCCACTTTTGCACCGCTTCCTACAGCCCGGATCTTGCTCCCTCCGGCTTTCATCTGTTTGGGCCGCTCAAGGATGCTTAGCAAAAGTAGCTTTGCGACCAACCGAAAAAAATCTTCTCGGAAGGTATACGCAAGCTTGTGGACCGCTAGACCAAGTGCATTGCCAAGGGAGGAGACTGTGTTGAAAAATGATGTACATATTAAACCTCTATTTTTGTGTAAATAAATTGCAGAACGAAAAGTGCAGATAATTTTTGACTCACCCACGTATTTTTGTTGTATATTGCTTTGTTACGAGAATGTAGAGTACGGAAATAACGGACAAGGCGTTTCACGAAAACTGGTATCTGCTTCATCCATCAATAAAACGTATATTTAGCCTGCTCATTATGGCTAACCATTTAGAATGCAAAATTGCGACATTTGAAAAGTTTAATCTCTCCTTGCCTTCATTCATGACGGTAAAAATTTTGCACATTTCTCAGTTTTTTATGCACAGTAATATTATTATATTTAAAATCTCACATTTTCCAAATGTACTTCCAGATTTTAAATCAATCGTACACAATCGCCCTTTTATTTTTAAAAATGAAATAAAAAAATACTGAAGAAGACGTCTTGCCTACAGCAGTTACAACTGTTACTTCCAACCTAATAATGAAAATACATAATTTTCTGACGGCAACTTATTTGATAAAATTGGATAAAGTTACTTTCTACCAATGAAAGAAATATTTAAAATAATTTTATTGGTATTAAAAAAATTGCTAGTAGTTGTATTACAATTTGTAATTACAGCAATAGTAATAGCACCTAAAATAATAAAATAGCGACCATTCATGACAAGATGCTTGATATTAATTACTACATAAATGACCTCTATGTAATCAACGTCAATGATGCTATATGTTGGAAGAAAGATCAGTAACTGAAACAGATAAAATATTAATACCAATATTATACATATATATAAATGAAAGAAACATTAAACGAGACCAACATTATTATGGGATTTGAAAATCGCCAGATTTGGGGCCCGTTGTTCCAACCCATTCCAACGAAATTGATTCTGAAATAATTTGTATTTTTTAATTCTATATTACATTTGTCAATTCGACGTATCTGGCAATACTTTATTAAAGGAATTACACAATTTTATTAAAGGAATTACACAACGTTTTGACCGAGAATTCCGGTCCTTTAAAAGTGAAAAGCGTCTTGATTACATTCTAAAGTCAGACAAGTGCCAATCAATCAGAATCTGAAGAGTCTGAAATTATCGCGATATAGATTAAGCAATTTAAAAAACAAAATTTCTATAATTTTATTATTTGTATTATTATATGTTTAGACTTTTATATAATCATTAATTTTTACTATATTTACTGTACAAATTACAAATTAGAAAAAGTATAACTTTTTTATGCACATAGTTATATACTAATAATGTTTAAATTAATAATTAATATTTTTAGTATATGTATATTGTGGCGATCGTGGCGCAGAGGATTGTGCGCTGGTCTGGTAATCCGAAGACCTGGGTTCAAAACCAAACAAAACATTGTTGGTTTTTCGATCGCCACATAGAGAAGTGGAAGTAGAGAGAGGTGTAGACAGTTGTAGTTTTATTTAATATGGATAACCCTGCGAGAAGTTAACTAGTATATGTATATTAATTATACATACTGTATATAATTTTCATATTTTTTATTCTTTACATACTTAAACACAAATTATGTAACTGCTTTCTCTAATTTTCTAATAGATAGTTTAACAAATTAAAGCATTCATAATGTTCTCTAATTTTTTACAATCAAGTAATAATAATTAAGAAATATTTGATAAATAAGACAGAAACTGTAACATTATTACTTTCTACAAATTCATAAAAAGTTATACATTACCATTCGTTACAGTTTTAAAATTTTTCCTTAAAGTAAAAAGATTGACATAGCAGCCATAAGAAACAAATATTTGTGGTAAAATTCAAATGCCTAATATGTATCACAATTTGAATTTTAATTTACTACTTTAAAACAAACATTTTAGAAATTTGCAACACTAAGTTTTTTTAAAGAACATTTTTAATTTAGTAAAGAAAGAATTTTTATTAGATATAAAGAATTTTATTAGATATAAAGAATTAAAGAAAGAACAGAACATCTTTAGTAGAGGTAGATCTCGGTAGCCTAATAATGATAATTTTATGTAAATTTAATATACTTTAATACTGACAAATATTTTTAACGATATCTGAGTGAATTAAATATATCATTTTAACATATGTATTTACTAAAACAGATTTGTACCAAACAACAATATTTGGTACAATACAGAGGCAACTGTAAGAAAACAAAATTTTTTCTCTGGACATCAGTAATATTGTTCTGCGAAATAGTTTATAAAATAAAATTAGCTTTCACAGCACTTCAAATTACCTTATCAGGTATATAATATTTTTTCGTTGAAGATATGCAAGTAAAACACAGTAACTTTTACTGTGACTTACTGTAAATAAGACACTGACTTTTCTGTACTTTGCAACGCAGCAATGATCAATAACGATTCACAAGGTAAGAACTACTGACAAGCCTAAAGCCAAATTGTAAGGAATATGCGGAAACGACGAATCGTTGTTCCTAGCTCTATGTTCAAACGAAATAAAATAAGCAGTTTTAGCGAATCGTATTAAATATTTATAAACCATTTTATTAGTCTTACAAAGAGACTCTTTCCAAGTTAATATGTAGTAGTAGTAGAGTCATAAAGTATAATTTGTTAAATTATCGATAATAACTACTTCAGAATATGCTTGGACATTCTTGCAGTGGAAGAGCATAGTTTATCGTTGTACGACAACATGATATATTCATAGAAGATACAGAGAGAAATGGAAATTTGAAAGGAATAATAAATTACTCAAATTTTGTGAGTACTTTTAATCCTGGTGGAAATATCGCATGATGTGTAGACACAAAGAGAGCTTAAGTGCATAAAGGTAAATACAAATATAAAGATACATTCATTCCTCGCGTTAGTTGATTTCACGAAGTATGTATGTGCTCTTTCAATATCGCTTTACAGCTAACAGACGGTAGCTGTAAAGAAACATCAGCTACGAACAAAACGTTTATTAAGTTAAGTACATTTATTATTTTATTATTTCAATAATATTAAATTGTACATTTACAGACAACTTGCAATAACCTTATAGTCGTACAGATATTTCATATAAAGTTTTAACCTTTTCTTAGCGATAATATTTGAAGTTACACAATTTTATTAAACATTTTCGACTCTCTTGTTTCACATATTCTTTTTTTCTGTTCTCTCTTCCAGAACGATTCATTAGAAAGACATCAGAGATATGGATTTCCAAACCGTGAATCCTCTAAATGTTCGGCTGAACTTGGTTTCAGGCAATTTGTTACCTATGACTGCCGACGGTTCGTCGTTTCCGATATTTTGGAAAATATACAGCGTTCTGGTATGGTTACTCGAAATATTGCAAACATGCGTGTTAATTCCTGGGTGTATTTTTGTGCCAAAAGAGAAGGCTCTAAAGGACGGTCTGATCGGTCTTGTGGTTACCATGGAAGTGGTATCTGTAATTATACGAGTTCACACATGTAAAGGACTGGCGCAACAACTAATTCAGAAACTGAATGACATTCTGCGCGTGGGGGACGAGATGATGAAGAGTATAGTAACAACGACCATAAAATCGATGGAGATTCCCCTTAAGTTTTACTGGTCGGCCGGCTTGATGTCCATAATATTGTGGAGTGGTACACCGTTAATATTGATCTTTGAAAGAAATTCCTTTTCCTACGTAGATTACAGGATGCCGGTTGTCTATTCTAAAGAGCCATTCACGACCAGTGTCTTTTTATTTGGAAGTGTTATCGTACTTATGAGCAGCGCATATATTTTTACAAAGAAAGTCAGCGTGGATAGTTACATGATAAATATAATGTTACTAATAACGGCACAATATAAGTACACCGCGTTAAAATTATCGATGATATTTCAAGATAAATTGCTTTATAATGATCACAGCGAACCTAATACGAAGCAATGTCCTAATAAAGATTATTACGTGGAAAAAGAAATTAAAGCTTTATGCCGGCATCATAATACGATTATTCAGTAAGTTTATTTTTCACAATTTTCGAAAAGTTATAGGTATTTTTCATTCGAATTCAATCTGCTTTTAATGTTTCTCTTTGATTAATAATATCCCAGTGAGAAATAATTCGTCGATCGATGTCGAATCGACGCCAATTTGCCGGTGTCGATGTTAATTCGACATCGTTTCCACATCAATGGACCAGTCATTTCTCACTGGCATTCGATATTTTGTCACAAAACATATATTTATTGTTATCTTATATAAGTTACATTTTTAAATATTTCATTATGCAATTTAAATTTATTGTTATAATTATTTAATCTTGTAAATATTATTATATTCTCTAATGTAATAATAATTGTTATTTTATTTTATATAATACCTTATTATATGTAATGTTTTTTGGTTTCAGCATAATGGTAATGCTAAGAAAACTGCTGTCTTCAAATATCAGTCTAATATATATAATAAGCGTTTTTCGATTCTGCTGTATTGCTATCATGGTAATTTCAGTGAGTAACAATCTTTATTATTCTAAGAATATTTGTTAAATCCAAAGACAGCATATCTTATTGTATTTCATCAGTTAGTATAGTATCGATGCATTTTATTTTTCGGATAACTATAGATACCATCAATAACTTTATGGGAAGTATTCCTGGTCATTATGTATGCAATCGGCGGAGTTGTGCAACTCTACATATTATGTTATTGTGTGCAACAGTTATTAGATGCGGTAGGCTATGTTGTAATACATATTGTTACATGTTACACGCAAAAGAGGATTAAACCATTAAACCCTTGTAATTTAGAAAAATGTGCTACAATATAATACATGTCATTTTCTATTTTTAATTTAGAGTGTTGAAATAACGGATTGTGCGTTTCATGAAGAATGGTATCAATATGGATCGTCCATAAAACGTTTATTTATGTTTATGATAATGGCTAATAATTTAGAAATTAAACTCTCAACGTTTGAAAAGTATAATTTATCTCTATCTTCATTTATGGCTGTGAGTTTTACATTCCACGTGTCGTTGACGTATCCAATATTCAATTAAAATATTATTACAAATTTTTGCTTCATATTTTAGATTTTAAATCAATCATATTCAATCGCGCTGTTACTACTGAAAACTAATTGAAAGAAATATTATTGCACAGATTGTGTACAGCAAGTATACTTCTTAGTGTTATAACACAATATAAAAATTATCAAAAAAGCTTGTAGGGCTACTTTTTGTCATCCTACAATATATAATTTTAGTTCCAGTAAAATATTGTATAACATTATTATGTATAATGTATTAAACTTAGTAATTGGTTAGAAATTTAATTAAATGGGTAAGCAAATACTATAACTTTAAAATGTAGACTTTACTGTAATAGAGTATGTAGTAAGAATTAAAATTCTTATTATTTATAATAATATGGAACGTAAAGTTTACAGTAATATTCTCAAATTTTGAATTTTAAATTAATAGTCATACACTTTTAATTAGTGAGAATTTTTAGCAAAAAAAAAATAAATTTCTTAGTGCTCTTTTCTCCAATACTTGTAAGAATTTATCATTAACACAATATCTTCATAATACAATATAAAATATGGAATTTACAACAACGCCCATTCTCATATCTTAAATTTTACAGCACACCAAGTATATTTTATGTGTATTTTTAATTAAATATTTAGTGTCAACAAGAAAGGAAATTTTAATATTCGTCTTTACATTATTGATAGAACATGGAATAGTAGTTAAATAAAAATAAACAACTTACGTTAAAGATTACCTCGCAACAGTCCGACAGTCCGACAAGTCCGACAATTACCAGACAGTCAGACAACATCGTTGTGTGCGTGTTTTAGATATTGTGAAGATCACAATGTTGTGAGACTCTGTGAGGATCGCAACATTCTTGGACTAGACAATATATCCATAAGATAACCGTTGCTTTATGGTGAATTGATAATTACTAAGTAAGATCACAGTCACGTTTGACAGTGAATATACAGAATGAAATCTATTTCTTCTATAAATTGTCATCTACGACGTCTAGTGCGACGTCTCTTCGTAAACTTCTATACAACGTTTCGTACATATAATAGATATCGCTTTCTAATTAATAGCTACCCGGTAAACTCCTATGTTATTAAGCGCGGTGCGCTGCTGCGCATGCATAGTATATAGGACAAACTTCGATAATTACAAGGAAAGGGACCCGTTTCCTTTAAACGCACCCGTCATATAATAATAAATTATATATAGCTGAAAGACAGAAATAAAACGGAGGAGTCACTAAATTGTTCGAGGTGCAGTAGTAATTTTCTCATGTCGACAGAAATGCGTCACATATTCTTCTAAACAGAAAGGAGCGTGTGCATTAATGTGAAACGAAGGGAAGGTATGTACACTACGAATTGTACATACGTAGATCTTTCTCTAACACACCGAAGATCCATAAGACAAAGTAAATTAATGACAATTGTAACTAAATAAATTCTGTTTCTTTACTGCGAGAGACTTCAGTTTAAAAAGAAATTTGCTCATTGTTAACTAAACAAGTTTTTCGACAGTTTTAAGTAAAATATCTTTCGTAACGCTAAAATAATATTGCAAATCTATCATACATAAATGAAATCTTAATGCAACCACTTTCAATGAGTTTTATTTGATACAGACGCGTTAAAAATACATAAATACATAAAAAAGGAACAGAATGGGCCAATCGAAACCTTAGTGTTTGTTATTACTTCTTTTACTTTACAGGACAATTTCTATACTCATTATAAAGTACTCGCGACACCGAGTCAATGGACTTCCAAAGTATTAATCCTTTAAATGTTCGGCTTAACTTGCTTTCGGGCAATCTATTACCAATGACCGACAATTCATCGTTTCCAACATTCTGGAGGCTATACAGCATTTTCGTATGGTTGTTCGAGCTATTTTACACAGTCACATTAATCGCCGGTTGCTTCTTCGTGCCGATAGAGAAAGTATTAAACGATGGAATAGTCATCTTGATAGTCATAGTGGAAGCAAACTTCCAAATCATACAAATACTCACGCATACAACACTGGTAGAACAACTGATACGAAAGCTGAATGCTGCCCTGAACACCGAAGACGAGAACCTGAAGAAGATCGTAATAACAAATCTAAAACCTATGGAGACTCCATTCAAATTTTACCTGACGATCGGCACACTTTCCGCCTCTTTCTGGTGCTGCATGCCACTTCCGTTGATTTTTGAAAAAGATACATTTTACTACTCGGATTTTAGAGCACCGGGTATTTATTCCAAGGAGCCGTTTTCCAGCAGCGTTTTCCTACTGGGTACCGTGCTAACAGTGATCAACAATATATACATTTTTATAAAGAAGGTCAGCGTGGATATTTATGTCACGCATTTGATATCACTGATAACGTCGCAATATCAATACATTGCTTCGAGGTTCGTATTGATGTTTCGAAACACTAGCCAACAGGATAACAGCAGTTTTCTAGAAAGTAATACGAGAGTAGATGTATCTGTAGAGAGGGAGATAAAAAAGTTATGTCGGCAACACAACAATATTTTGTAGTAAGTGTGTTTTTCTAGCTATTAAAGATTGCAAGTTGCTTAAGAAACTTCTGTCTGCCAAATAACGTAATATAAATCTCTATTCGTTCACAAGTAACGTAATATAGGATTCTGTAATGAAATATATTAATATTATATCTGCATTTACTTTTTATATAATGTCGTAGACATAAATGCCCTCTTGTTTCAGTATAACGTTAATGCTTAAAAAATTGCTATCTGTGAACATCTTCTTTATTTACTTGAATAACGTTTTTCGATTCTGCTTTCTTGGTGTCATGTTGAGCAATGTGAGTAATAATTCAGGACATCAATTATTTTAGAGATGCGTCTGCGATTATTTAGATATAAATAAGAAATATATTGAATTACCTCGAATTACTATCAGTTATAGTATAGCAGCGATGTTTGTAAAACCTCAGATATCGGCGTCTTTCTTGGAAGGTTCTATGGTCTTTATGTACGGATCCGGCTCAATAACGCAGTTCTATATATTGTGCAATTGTTTCCAGAAATTAACAGACGCAGTAAGCTATCTAATACTTTAACACATACCGTAAAAGTTTATTAATAATTTTCCAATGACAGAATTTAAGTCTTTTTTGTCGATTCATATTCGCAATATTCACAAGCAAATGAAACAAATATTAATTTTTCTAACCATATTTGATTAGGAATATTATAAAAGCATTTTATTTAAGTAAAAATTATAAATGATAAAATGTATTATTTTATTTGTGTTGAATTCAGACGTCAGAAATAACAGACAAAGCATTCCACGAGGACTGGAATCGATTCAGTTTATCCGTAAAACGTACATTCTTGATGGTGATAATGGCTAGTAATAATATGGATCTTAGGATTTCATTATTTGAAAGATTCAACCTATCTTTACCTTCATTCATGTCGGTGAGATTAATATGTGCTAATCTATAGTAACTTATTTTGTCTGTATTTTTAAAAATAAGATAATTTTGTATCATTTTCCAATATCTTTTTAGATTCTAAATCAATCGTATTCTATTGCCCTCCTGTTATTAAGAGTGAAATAAGAAATAACGATGATAATAATACATCTTTCTAAAATAACTGGTAATTATGATTCTTATCAATACGTACAACGTTTTTACTTTTATCAAATTTGTGATTTTTATTTCAGTACAAGGAATAGTAACAAATAGCTAATAATATGTTATTTATCGTTTATAAATTAAAAAATTAATGGCTAATTCTATAGAATATTATATTAGTTACAAAGATATATTTTTTATCCTAAAATTTAAGCGAACTAAAAGTTTACCAACATGGAAATGTGTGTGTACAATTTGTTATTACATTTTTATGTGACACAATATTTAAAATGTGACGAATGATAAAATTATAACAAATAAATTGCTGGATTCTCGATATTAAAACTAAATTGACACGGAAAATAAGACAGTGAGATTCAATGCGCGGGTTTTGGTGCGTACAATTGAAGTTTAGTATTTCATTGAAATTTATGTATATTTGGTTTAAAAGCGTCCTTAAGAACTTCAACAAGCATCAATACCCGTGTACTGACTCTTGCCTTTTTCCTGTATCAACTTAGTTAAAATTGTACCATTTTAGGAAGCCAATTTTATATCAAATTGCGTCTACTATTTTTAACAGTAAATACAATTGACTAAAGTGTTTACAGATTTGCAAAATTAATTGCAATATTTAATAATCTTTATTAAATGAGGTATAACAGTTATTATTATACATTGTCACAATAATCTTCTACTTTTTAATATTTCTACAGACCTTTTGCTAAATAAAAAATTGATAACAAACCTAACGTATCAGCATGTAGGATACAACTCGTAGATAAGCCTCCATTAAAATGTTTTGCAGTCGTATTTCACAGCGTTAAACCAGAATCTGTAATCTTGAGACGAAGTTTGCGTTGAGGCATGGTCAGGTTTCCAAACTTCGCAGTGGTCGACGAAGCGCTATAAGATAATCGTTCCCCTCGTAGTAATGATAATTAGAAGGAAGCTCATAGTTGCGTGCCATGCATCTCTACAATAAACATAATGAAAAAGATCGTACTGTTATAAATTGTCGTATATTATTGCAACATTTAGCCATGAACTTCTTCATTTGCCTGCAACAATATCTTCCCAAGTCTTTATTCAGGAGGATAATATTATATTGTCGATGTCTCTACTTAATTGCGATTGGTAGCGGAATACCTTCTGCCTTTGTACGAAAACGTATAATAATATCCGAGCAGAAAAGTAGAGAGTAAAGGAGATTAAAGAACAGCTATAGATCTGATCGGCTGAAAGCAACTTTCAAAACGCTACAGAAATGCGACGCGTAAATCGAGAAGAAGCGTGCGCGATGACAGAGTCATATGTAGGATGAATAGCTCTATTGTCCCTTCTACGTTGTCCCTATTTAAGTATATAGTGACAGCTGTAAGTAAACTGTGTTCAAATATCACGAGTATTTAAAAGAAGTCCATTGTTCAACTTTTATCGCAAAGAAGATTTGTCGAGAATATGGATTTTCAAAACGTTAATCCTCTGAACGTTCGCTTAAATGCTCTTTCGGGAAACTTGCTGCCCTTGAAACCAGACGATTCGCAATTTCCCGTAATATGGAAGGTATACAGCATCTTGGTGTGGCTGATTGAGATAGTTCTAACAATCGTGTTAATTCCCGGCTTGTTCCTGGTGTCACGGGAGAAGGCCCTGCAAGACGGTACAGTTCTCAGTGTAGTCACCATAGAGGTGTTTTTTATGGCCACGCGGATTCACTCACACAGACAACTGATGAATCAACTGATCCAGAAATTAAACGATATTTTACGCCTCGCGGACGGGACTATGAAGAGCATTGTGACGACGACTCTGCAGCCTATGGAGAATCCGCTCAAGTTTTACTGGCTGTCTGGCTGGTTCGGTGTCTTCCTATGGGCCTGCTTACCGTTCTTGTTGATCTCCAAAGAGGTTTCCTTCTTCTACGAGAGCTACCGAACGCCAGCTATCTTCTCCAAGCAGCCCTTTTCGCTCGATGTCTTCCTACTGGGCAGCATCTTCATACTGATCGGTAACATGTACATTTTTGTAAAAAAAGTTGGCTTGGATGTTTATATGATACATCTTGTGCTACTGATAACGGCGCAGTATCGATATATCGCCACGAAACTCGCGATAATATTTCGAGATGGAAATCCGCTGAGTGAGTTCGATGAATCTCGTCAAACGTACTGCTCTGGAATAGATCGATGGGTGGAAAAAGAAATGATAACATTATGTCGGCATCATAACACTGTCATTCAGTAAGTAAACGGAAAAATTCTGCCGCAACTTAAACTCGTTTAACAGAAAATACTTACAAGAATACATCGATAATGGCCAGCTGTTAAAGAGATTTTATTCTCTCTTAATTCTTATTTTAAAGAAAACCAAATTGCACTCTTGTATGCCGCTTTATATTTAGTTGTATTATTATTCTGTCACATATTTACGCAACAATTTAAAATTAAATATATGATAAAATATATTAAAATGTGATTTACGACATAATAAATCGAGAACGTTTCTCGTGGCAATGTGCAATTTCAAACGTCGAGCAATACAAGAGATAAAAAGTTTGGTGGATTAGTATAATTTCTACATTTTCCCTACATTTCTACATTTAGACTAAATTCTAAATATAGAATATTTTATAATATCGTATGTATACGGAAGCTTTGTTTTAGCTTATCATCTATGTTAAAGAAATTACTGTCTTTAAACTTCAGTATGATCTATGTGAACAGCGTCTTACGGTTTTGTTTTATTGGCGTTATGTTGAGTACAGTGAGTAACAAATGCTAATGTTAATTAGTCTACTGATAGTCGCGGTTAATACATAATAGGCTGATATAAAAGACAAATACGTATATATATATTTATATAGTATATTATATAAACGGTATATATTGTTGCATAATTTCAGGTGCTATCAATAACAATTCCAGAAGCTCTCTCGATCGTCATGTATGCATGTGGTTCAATAGTACAATTTTACATGTTATGTTCTTGCGTTCAGCAATTGTTAGATGCGGTGAGTTATAATTCGTTTTTTCTCATTAAATGTCTCAGTAAATTTTTTAATTTATAACCATTATATTTACAACTATTTACACATTGTTTACGTTCTACATTAATATTAGGAATTCTATTCTCTTGTCTTTGTATATTTAAAAAGGTGTTGTTAAATTTACATATGTATTTAATTTGTGACTGGTGACTTCTTGTATGTACATATTACGTGCAGAAACACCATTTGTATAATAATAATTAGTAATTATATAAATTATTTTCTATTTTAATATGTTGAATTTAGAGCCAACAAATAACGAATAAAGCATTTCACGAAAAATGGTACCAGTTTGGACCATCTGTGCAACGTACATTTATGTTGATGATATTAGCCAATAATTTAGAGTGCAAGCTCTCGACGTGCAACAAGTTTAATTTGTCTCTACCCTCATTTATGACGGTAAGAATTAATGTACTTACTTACCAGTAATGTAATATTCTAGAATTTTATTTTTCCAAATTCTTTCTAATGATCTTTCAGATATTAAATCAATCGTATTCAATTGCTCTTCTACTCTTACGAGTACACGAATAATGCGGCATTTCTGAAATCAAATCTTTATTTTTCAAACTAATGGTAATAAATTTATGAATAATTTAGTTAAAATTAGTAATTATGTTAGAAATATGTGCAAATATTTTTATGATGTAATTTCACGAGAATATATTAAAAAATGATAAAAACTGAAATTGAAAACATCACCGAAAAAAAATGTTTTAGTACCTTATGTAATTTAATAAATCTACACAAAAATTAACTGTATTGTTGTGTCCAAGTTACTTATAACTAATAGAAATATTAATAGCAAATTTCTCATTTTCGTTTTGGAAATCGTCCTTTTCAAAGAATTTAGATCATCTGATGATATAAATTTTGATTAAAGTAAAATTTCTTTAGCAATAAAATGATTTATTTAGCATTTTACTTTAGCAATATTTTATTGTAATCAAGAAGCGACTTCACAGATTTCACAGATTCATCTAACCGCTGATCAGCCATTACATAATGAACGAGAATTAAACCACTGAATGATCTACAAAAAAGTGCTGCGTGACAATATTTCAGAGGACATATAAATCTATACATTTGATAGCGATTTAATTACTTACAGATTAATCCGCAGTTTTCCATCGACGAGATGTGCGCTAAGTAGTGCGATTCGGTCGAGTACTATAAAGTTTGTAACTCCGCGAGCAACAATGCGCCATAAGATAATGGCTGATGAAGCATTCCGTTATGGGGATGCTAATTCCAAGAAAAGTTGTATCATGGAAATAAACATGACTAACTTACAGTCAAGTGGAAAAGCTAACTTCTCGCAAGAATTTGTTATTTATCGAGAAGTTAATTTTACGAATTTCTTTAATTTCCTTAAAATAATAGGCAAAGTCTTTCTGTATTAATAGTTACTGAAAAATCTATGACATTGCTGCCTTTGATTCCTCCGGACAATAATCACAGGACAGATATCGATAAATGCGCGAAGTTAGAGGGGATGTCACCGCTGCCAAACGGCACATAGTATATTAATGGAACTCGAGAAAATGAAGGGAAATTTAATGGAAATAATAAATCGTCGAAGGTCGATATGACCATGCATCGGGTGACTTTTACATATAGAAAAGAGTCACGCTTGATTCTGTGAAAGGTAAAGAACGTCCATGCGACGGTCACAGAACCGTGGAATCATATGGCGATAAGGAGGTCCACACATAAATTACTTACGAAAGAAGCAACATCGTAAGTATGGACTTCCGAAGCGTGAATCTCTTGAACGTGCGAATAAACGCTTTATCGGGCAACCTGTTGCCGATGACACCCGACGACACGCAGTTTTCGATTACCTGGAAAATATATAGCTGCTTCGTGTGGGTCATCGAATTGATACGTGCAGGCGGTTTAATTCCCGGGATCATGTACGTGTCGAGAAGTAAGGCTCTGGAAGATGCCACAGTCGCCATCGTATTCACTGCGGAAGTAATCTTCATGGTGATGCGAATTCAGTCACGTAGCGCGTTGGTACGACGGCTTATTCAGAAGCTGAATGACATTTTGCATACCGAGGACGAGACTATGAAGTACGTCATGACGACTACTATGAAACCGATGGCAATGCCGCTAAATTTCTATTGGAGTACTGGCCTGGTGGGCGTGATTGTGTGGGGCAGTATGCCACTTTTGCTGCTATTTAAAAAGAGCTCTTTCTACTACGAAGATTACAGAATGCCGGTTGCTTTTTCTAAGCAGCCATTTTCGACCGGAGTCTTCCTGCTAGGAAGCCTCCTCATATCGATCGCTAGCATGTATATGTTTTCGAAGAAAGTCGGCGTGGACGTCTATATGATTCATCTAGTGTTGATGGTAACGACGCAATATCGATATATCGCGGTGAAGCTCCAGAAATTATTTCAAGAAACAAATTCAAAAAGTGAAAGCGATTTTCAAGAAGAATGCCATCCCAGGAGGACAGATTCATGGGCTGAAAAAGAGATAAAAGCAATATGTCAGCATCACAACACCGTGGTTCAGTAAGTAGTTAATGAACGCTTGTTGAAGGTCTGATCGATCTTAATCAAATTGTTTTAGTTAAATAATTTTATCGTGATTAATATTACATAATGATGAACATGTATGTACATTATACATCGTACATTATCTGCTTGTTTCAGCTTATCGTTTATGTTAAAGAAGTTGTTAGCCTTAAATTTTAGTATAATTTATGTGAACAGCGTCTTACGATTCTGTTTTATCGGTATCATGTTGAGTACAGTAAGTAACATTTGTTAACACTAGTGACGCTAAAATATATGTATATAATGTTTCCTTTGTTATTCTAAATAAGCATCAATTATATTATAATTAATTAGTAACATAATGCACAAAATATATTTCTGTATAAATTTACTTAATTCTATCAAATTTATAGAAAATTTCTATAAAATTTAAGAAATTAATAACTTACTTAAGAGGAAATACAAATGTAATATCTAAAAGTAATAAATTTTAAATTTATTTTTTTTATATAAATTTTTATTTATTGTTAAGTAATTTAACATTGACAAACAATATATTCTTCTCTCTTTCGTATTTGTAGGTATTTTCGTCAGTTTTCATTGAAGGTTTCTCAATCACCATGTTTGCTTTCGCCGAAATGTTACAATTTTACATTCTATGTTCCTCCGTACAACAATTACTAGACGCAGTAAGTTCTATTCTTGTGCAATCTAATAAACTAAGTCACTAAAATAAAATTAAGAAAGTGTTTTTAAACTGCACCGCCTTGCATTTTATTGAATTGAATTAAATCAAATTGAAATAAATCAAATAAAAAATTTGTTTATTTAATAATTACATTTTACCTTATCTTTCCTCAATTAGAGTACAAAAATGACGGATATGGCATTTCATGAAAATTGGTATCAATTCGGTGCCCCAGTTAAACGAACATTTATGTTAATGATATTGGGAAATAAACTAGAGTGCAAACTTGCGGCATTTAACAAGTTTAACCTGTCGTTGCCATCATTTATGGCGGTAAGACTATACATACATTTGTATATTATCTGTTTAATAATACTAACGTTAACAATTTTATTAACAATATTACAGGTTATGAATCAAGCATATACAATAGCTCTTTTATTTTTAAAGATAAAGTAAAATGTGATGGTGGACATATTGCAATCTCAAATTATTAAAATTTTTATATTACAAGGCTATATAAATGATTACCAATAAATAAGTAAACTATTCTCTGTATCGTCAAAGTCTACGATTCTTGTTTTAGAGAAGAGGGTACCAAAAAATAACAAATTGGCAAAAATTATTAACTATGTAATACGAATATTATTAATAAATTTTATGTAAATATCACTGAAATAGTGTCATTTAAAAATAAAAATCTCAATTAGTGATAACAGTGAGTTTAAAATTACTTTTTCATTATGCTGTTAATTGTTGCATAATATATTTATTATGTATACATCTCTCGTTTTATAAACGTTGATACTAAAACTAAGAACGATGCACAGCTTAAATAATAGTACAATATCTAAATATTTAAAAATTTACTCCAGAATTGTTATTTGCATTAACGGTGAAATTTTCTTCATGTAAAAACGTATTGTTTCTTCCTCGATGCAGATTACAACAAAATCCATAAATATCTATACATCATACTACAGTGAACCTAATGAGGAAGATAAGGCTAATTATTGCAACATTTATTAATGAATTTCTTTATTACTTCTATATACAGAGTACAAAATTATTATATTTAACGAGGGATACATGCTGTCTTACAATAATTAATCTACTAGGCAATGATCACAGAAGTTGTCAATAATTACAAAAAGAAATATTATCAATAAGTACGTACAAGGTCGCACAATATTGTATATTAATAACAATCAGAAGAACGAATAACTTCTTCGAAAATTGATAATGACTTACGAACGACTTTTATGTTAACAGCTAAATTGTTAATTTTCTTTTCGAGGCAATTTCTTTAGGAAACAACATGCGCAATGCATGCAAATGAGGGATAAGTACATTTAATACTAAAATTAGCTATTTGTCTCAAGAGCTAGCTGTACTAGCGGTAATTTTGATCATTAAGTATCATTACAAACTTCCCTTTCTTGTGTGTTTAAAGGTAAAGTTTTCTGTAAGACATCTTTAGGAATTAGTTGACTAAGTCAATTTTTTCCAAATGAACTGTAATTAACGTACATTTGTTCGGCATGAGCGAACGCTTCGATTTTAGTCACGTTCAGTTTTAAATTCACTGCGGTATAGAATAACACACAAGCATCGGAAGCGAATGTTTTGAAAACTCGGTCCATTTTTACACGGGCCACACTTGACAGAACACTTTTCAAGAAACGGTGTCCAAGGATCATGGATTTCCAAACTGTAAATCGTCTAAATGTGCGAATAAACTTGATTTCCGGCAATTTGTTTCCGATGACAACAGATAATTCGCGATTTTCCATTGGCTGGAAGATATACAGCGCTGTTACATGGTTGATAATCATAGCTATAATAATTGCATTTTCCGTTGGATTCATGATGGTGTCCAAGAAAAAAGTTATAAGCGACGGCATGATCGGCACCGTTTTCGCCATAGAAGTATTATTCCTGGTTGCACGTATTCACATGCACAAAGATTTGGTCAAGCAACTGATCCAGAATGTGAATGACATTCTTCGCGTCCAGGACGAGACTATGAGGCGCGTCGTTAGGACGTCTCTACATCTGGTGCATTCTTCAGCCAAGTTTTACTGGATGTCCGGCATAATAACAGTGATAATTTGGATAGTCATGCCGCTCACGGCGGCCTTCAAGAAGAATTGCTTCATCTACGAGGATTACAGATTACCGCTTGCCATCTCCAGACAGCCATTCTCGACAGAAATGTTTCTGCTAGGGAGTCTGTTATTGGTATTTGGCAGCGTGTACGTTATTCTAAAAAAGGCCGCTGTGGATATTTATATGTTGAATTTTGTGATGTTGATGACCGCGCAATATCGCTACATCGCGGTGAAACTTGAAGAAATATTTCGAGAAAGAAATTCGCAGGATAAACGCGATAATTTTGAAAAGCAAAATCATCCTACAACAGATTCATGGTCAGAAACAGAGATGAAGGCGGTATGTCGGCATCACAAAACCGTGGTTCTGTGAGTAGCTGCCGAAAATGTATTAAATGTTCATTGATAAAATTACCTCAAAATTACTTTTACTTTTCAGCTCGCTCAATTATTACGTTTTACCATCTACAGTCAAAATATCTTTTTTGCGCTATTTAATGTGTAGTCTATATCTATATATGTACATTCTATATATGTATATGTATACATACACATGTTGCATTCTCCGTTTTTTTTTTCAGCATGTCGACCACGTTAAAGAAGTTACTGTCCTCAAACTTTTGTTTAATTTATATTAGTAGCATCTTACGGTTTTCTTTTGTCGGAGTCATGCTGAGTAACACAGTGAGTAATATGTATAATGTTTGCTAACATTTGTTACTTTAGAAACTTTACTTTTTCGTAAAACACGTAAAACGTGTAAGGGTTAAATACCGAAAACGAATGAAAACTGGCTACAAACAGTGCTTTATATGAAACATTTTTCATAATAATTTACAACAACTCAATTTGCAAAGTTTACGAATATCAGACGCATTTGATCTCAAAATTACAATGAAAAAATACAAGTTCAATTAAAGCAAAATAAATTATGAATTTAGTTAAATCATATTTAAATGATATTGATGAAATTTAAATGATATTTAAATGATACTTCTATTTTTCTTTTATAATTTATCAGGCACTGCTGAAAACTGTAGTTGAACGAATTGCAATGGTTTTCTTTGCTTGTGGCGAAATACTACAATTTTATATTCTGTGTTTGAACGTACAAAAATTATTAGACGCAGTAAGTTTTACTATATTATTTTCGCCTAATTATTTTACTCAATAATTGCGCTAGATACTTGTCATCTTCCATTATACATTAATTTCTATGTCTGAATTTAGAGTACGGAAATGACAGACATGGCATTTCACGAAAACTGGTATCAATCTCGATTATCAATAAAACGCAAATTCATGTTCATAATATTAGGCAATAATTTAAAATGTAGAATTGCGTCATTTGAAAAGTTTAGCATCTCCTTACCATCATTTATGACGGTAATATTACATGCCTTTACTTAATTTACATCTCACTTACCTGTTTATAAAATTATCATTATTAAAACTTTTTCTAAAACTTGTTAACAATATTCTAGATTATGAATCAATCATATTCAATTACTCTTTTATGTTTAAAACTCGTCAAAAAAGAATAGAGAATACACTGCAAACATCTCAAATATGGTGCAAAGTTTTATTGTGCAAGGTAAATATAACAATTAATAAACTTATGAGTCAATTTATTATGTTGCTGAAATTAATAATTTTTGTTTCAGCAAAAAATACAAGGAAATAATGATTGATGGGAGAGACATAATTAGTCGATTGTTTAAAAATCAAACGAAGAAAAATAAAAATTTGATCACACAATAATGACGGCAGGCTTAGTCTATTTCACTGTGCAGTGGCAGAAGCAGACATTATTATTATCAGTTAGAATCTTCTTCTGTTGGTTATATGGCGCCCTCCGATCTAATTGTAAGACTGTTTTTATCCTTGACGACTCTGGTCTGTATTCTAGCCTAAAGGATAGATCGGACGGGAATATCAGAAGTCTTTCTGATTTTGTTTCTTTTCAGTTGAGATCCCCTATCAATTCGGGGACTTGTAAATCACAGTCAAGGTCCGTGTTATGCGTTCTGTGTATATTCGAAGGCTCTGGCTTTCTCTTTCTAACCTTCGACCTCTTGGCCGTGAACAACTAATTCCCAAATCCGTTTCCTTTATTTGTATACTAAAATTCAGAGTTTATTCATATTTATGATCATTTTAACTGTCGAAAACGTTAATTGTTCAGTAAAGAATGCTGGTCTGTAGTTGCAAAGATTTAGTTTCCTTTTCATTCTTGACTGCAAGGTTCAATCTTGACTGCGCGCACAGTCAAGATTGAACCTTGCGAAAGCTTTATCTCGGAATTTCATACATAACATCATGAAATTTAAATAAATTATAGAACAGAAGTGTTACAGGTCGAACATATATAAAATGAATAAAAAGAACCTTTAATTTTTTATAAAAATCTATTTATGATGCATAAAAATATAAACTGCTTTACAATCTATTCTTTTTATAATTAAGTGGTAAAGAATAAATATTATTTTGCTTTGCAGAAACTAAAATATATAAAAATATAAGTTGCAGAAAATTTTAAATAGAAATAACTTATTGATTAGAAAAATTTCAATTGTATATTATGTAAAAAAAGATATTTCTTATTAAATATATTTCTTATTAATAAATATATAATATAATAATGAAAGTTTGCATTCATATCCCGCGAAATATATAATATTTATATAGGTATATTTATTTCCATGGTAAATCTATGTTCTGAATATTCTTTACCATTTATGAACAACATTCTTACGTAAATGAAGACTTATGTTTACATTTCTCTTTAAGTTCTTTGCCATTTCATACAAGATTTTGAAGAAATAAAAACATTTAAATCGGAAACGTATTTTAAAGTGAAAAACGCTAATGCAAGCCAAACTTTTGAATTAAAATCACTGATATATAATCCTTTTCTCAATTCTATAAAACTATAAAGCAAGACATGGTGAAACTTTACGCTTTCTCTAATTTAAAATATTTAAATAAACGCCAAGAAATTACTTTTTCAATATTAATTGAAAACATTCATGTACATCAGAAGTTTAATATTACGTTTCCGACCTTTACAAAAACGAAATCTCATATAAAACAGCATTTATGAACAGTTACAGAAACATGCTCTCTTTGAAAAATTATTTTATACGTTTTGACATTAACATGTTAAGCGCTGTGTCAGTCATCGGTGTCCAACGGTGAACCTTTTGTTCAGGCCGCGTTGGTCACGAATGACCGACGATATAAAATGCAAGAAATAATTAATATTTAGAAGAAAGTCCCCTATTATGAGATAGGTTTCTAACATAAAATAGCGGATTTTCTTACGCGGCGTAAGCGAAAAGGTAAAGAAAATTATCTCAACGTGTTAAAAAGTTTTTGCATTATCGAATACGGTTTATGTAACTGTTCCACACAATGCACAATTGAATTATAAGATGCTAGAATAATATTTATAAGCTATGAAAAATCATTATTCACAGGCCAGAAATATTACACTTACAGCTTACAATTCGTTTGCCTTGCGTATACGCTACCGAACATTATAGATCTCTATTTTATTTATTTATTACAAATAAACCGGAAAACTGCTCTGTGGATCTGGATGATTTCGTTTTGCATCGCGTTATTTTCCCTCGCGAGTACTTCCGCCGCTTCTGATCGTCCTGACACCCGGTTGCGAAGAACTCTATACTGTTCCCATGACCGACACTTTCGCCGTTCTTCAATATGTTTCGCACATTCGCGCTATACATACAGTCGTTTCGAAGTTGTCGCAAGTCATAGTGCAATGTCTGAAATTAATAAAATTAATACGATTGATGAGTTTTAGGTTATCAGGAGATATTAAGATATATCTTCATTTGTGTGTGTGTGTGTGTGTTTTTATTTTACAGATTTATTTTACGGATGTTAATTGCCAAAATTTGTTTTAAGCATTTCAGGAATTCAATATCTAGGGGAAGAGAATTACATGAAGAAGAACTAACAATTAAAAATTTTTTATATTTTTACATAAATTTTGAATGAGTTGTTTTGTGTGGTACAATTACTTCACACGATTTCACATATTAAAATTGTTGTGTAAAAAATTGTCTCACACAGTTCTAAATTAAATAATGTAATAAGCATCACGACACTTTCTTCAAATGTATTATAGCTTCAAAGAGAAAAAATAATCCTCCAGAAAAAATTGTGATGTAATAAGAATAAGTTACAAATTCTTTTAAAAAGAAATCTATATAAAATTTTTGTTTCCTGGAAAGACTGCGACTACAACTGTATTAATAATTAAACTAAATATGTTATTAGACATAAAAATTTTACAAATATTTTCTTTAAAATGGCACTCTGATTTAAATTCTCCAAACGTTTCATATTATCGTATTTACGTACTGTTGCAATACAGTTAAACAATTAAATCAACTTTGTAATTTTGTATCAATTGTTTGGTGAATTTCCGAAGATTTGGCAATCATAGCGACAAGTAACATTCGCGAAGGCGGAGGAATTTGAAATTGGTATACCTGAACCACCTTCCAAGCAACGGACTTCCGTCTACGTTCCGGGCTTTTCTTGCGTGAACAGGACTCTTCTTGCCAAGTGACATTATACATGCTGGCGTCGCCGCTCGCCGGCCAAACTAGACGCGCCTTGACTTCTCCACAGTGGCAATTCATGCGACGCACGTGGAGGCCGGCCTGCGTTCGCTCGCACCTGCGAGAACGCCTCCCGACGTCGGCTTCAATGAAAGGTCACTGCTTTCGTTGGTTATCCCGACTATACTGAACTTAGAAGGGAGACTGAGGGAAGGACTGACTATGATACCTTACCGTACGCCATGTAATCGGTGCTGTTGAAGACTTTGGACGCCTTGCGCGAGGTAAGACGCCGACCGCCGTACATCGCCACCGCCTGCACCTGAAGGAAGTACTGGCACTTGGGCTCCAGATTCTTCAGTTCATAGCAGGTCTTGTCCTGGAAAGTACATACGGAAATCTCGATCGTATCGAAAGCGCCCACTCGAACGTGAAAATTACCAATAAAATCCTGAGTGCTTATCAGAACTGGGATACATTATAAATTTGTATTACATAAATATGAAAACAATTTTTTTTAATCATGATTTACGTTTTAATGGATTTCATTCTTTCTAATTCTGAGCGCTGCAATAAAGATAATTGCGCGTACATTGAAGTGGCATCCCTTTTAAATCATATGTTTACATTTATTATAATTATTTAAAATTAAATTAATCTAATTTTTTACATTTTGTTGCAGATTACACTTAAATTCGATGACTAAAACAGGGATCTTCTAAGGAATCTACTATAGTGATGAGAACTTACTTTAAGAATCGTCTTGTGGTAGACGAGAATAGAATCGTTTGTTGGTCCGTGGATAAATCTACTCCAAAACACTTTGTAAAACGATATCGGCACATCCGATACCGGCTTAATCCATCGTAAATTAATGCGCAGCTTCCCACCGACGAGCCGCGCGTTAGACAAGGTCAAGTTCTGTGGTTCCTTCGGATTTCGCGGTTCTGAAACCAACCGAGGAGACCCCGTAAGATCAGTGATTCTTCACAGTGCAACGCTAATTACAACGAAACTCGTGTACTCGGCGCATATTTCCTGAACAAGAAGGTAATTCCCTGCTAATAAGTCGCTGTTGCAATTTATTTCATAAACATAATTTTTCTATACACAATATATAAAACTTGTATAAACTTTCCTCAATCAACGCACGCGACATGTCGGCAATGATTGGTTAATCTCTTAGGCCCGGTTTCACCAACGTTGTTTAACTTTAAATTTAGTGTAATTCGTTCTTTGTCTCTTTCCAACTGTTACTTTGGAAAGGGACAAACATGAATTAAGCTAAGATCAAAGTTAAGCGTCGTTTGGTAAAATCGGGCCTTAATAATGCAAAATACTTGTTTTTTGTCTGTTTCTATAATGCCTCACTACTTTAGTAAGTAAGTCCACTAAATTACAGAATAATCTAATAAAAAATATTATAAAAGCTGTCCCGTTCACAAAATGTGATTTTCTGTTGATAATGCACGTAAAGGTATTGATAAATGAGAAGTAGTAAAATGTATCGTCTCAGCTAATTGAAAATGATAACCGCACAGAAGTGATTTCTAGCTAATTCCTCATCTGCTGTTAGTAACTGGAATACTTAATCCGGTTTTGCATGATTCATTGATGCGTGAACCATTCATTATATTAATTATTCTTTCTTTTTCACGAACCAAACCCGTTTGGCGCGATCGTGTGATGGAGGTAAAACATTTGTGTAAAAATGTATTAACGATTCATTCTTGGGATCCATTGACGATAATAATTGATATACTAAGATTTATTCACGGCGTTTATTAATAATTAAGCTAATATCAGTACTTGTTACCACGGTCACTTTTTTTTTTCTTCCGTCGAATCGCATTATACTCGCGACCTTTCGATAGCACGTTTGTTCTCACGTTAGCCACTGGCCTTCACTTTGCGAAGCTTAATTTGCGTGCGAAAGGTCAACGTTAAGCAATACTTACCGTGGCGGTTTGCGCAAACGATTAACGCGACTCTGAAACTTTTCTCTGCGGGTTAATGGCCCGAATTCCGAGTCAACAAACAAACAGTTTCTCAAACACGTATACACTCGCAGGTAAATTTTCTTCGGCGGAACATTACGCATGTCGACCTCGCGTGAGACGAGTTGTTCCACAAGTTCGGACAATCAACGATAATAACTCTAGCCTTCCACAACATTCTTAAATTGTTGTTTTCTCGTGTCAATTTAGAATGCAGGAATGACGGACTTAAACGCTTCACGAAGACCGACATCGGCCTGGACCACCGATGAAACGTACATATTTCTCGGTGATAATAGCCACCGCAAAAGAACGTAAAACTTGCTACATTTGCAGGGTTTAATTTGACACTCTATACTTTTCGTTAATAAGTTTTCACATTATATCATTATATGTAAAATCACGTGCTAATTTTTTATGTTACCGAAAAATTCGATCTTTCCTCAGCTCGAGCGATTCGATCGGGACAACAATCAATCGCGGATAATAGACCGCGCGGATTTGCTCTTATCTCGTTTGGACGTACTCACCTTTCGTTTTAAAGGGCCTGGAAGGTAGGGAATATCCACGCGATCCATTTCCATTGACAGCCGCCACACGAAACTGATACCAATGTCCTGTTTTCAGCCTACCTCGTAGGGTCGCGTGTGGCTTCGTCGACACGTGACATACAGCCCAGGAACTCAATCTGGATTCCATGTACCTGGGGCCGACCAGATGACGCTCCTCGACCAGATACCGAACATCCCCGTCGTAGTCGTTAACGGACACGTTACTGCCACCCCATTTGCTGTTGCGCCACGTCAGAAATATCAGATTTCTCCTCTGCTGTTGTATCTGCAGATTCTCGGGCACAGGTGGCAGGTCTAATTCATATTGGAAATCGTTGTTCACGATGAGTAAGTGAACTTATAGTAGAATAAACAATCTGTCTTCTATTTCCAGATTCTTGACAATCAACCTACGTGCGACGAAACAGAGCATCGTTTGTCGCGAATTTTCCGCGTCTTTGACGCTTTTTTATTAAACACTTTTCTAATTTATTCTTAAATCACAAATCAATCGACATGTAGCTCACTTGATCTTAAATGAAGAATGCGATCCTATTATCTGTTCGCGAATTTTCTTCTCGAAGTCGTTCGTCTTTATGATTCTCTTTTGCAATTTACAAAATTACTAGTCTGCATGATACAAATACGAATGAGAAACAAGCACACGGCTCACAAAATAACGACTGCCACACTCACCGTTTCGACTGTCCAAACCGATGGGATGCATGCACGTGATGCCGCAATCGTGGGAGCAACACTTCGCCAAATCCGGGCAGCGGGAGTCGTCGACGCAGGCGATCAAGCAAGCGGCCTCGAAGGGCGTCATGGACATCTTCTCGGGACAATAACCAGGTTTTGTGTAATTCGACGCCAAGCAATTTTCCACGCACTACAGCATGACGACAAGGTATGATGAGAATGGATCCATGGAGACACATTCATTCCTAACTTTTGCCTTTCCCCTACATTTAACATTCCTCTCCTGACGCGTTACCGCCAGGAAATGTACCCGGTTGTACATACGTCACATTCGTAAATTGTTAAAATTTCATAAACACTTATTAACATCTAGGGGTGCTCATCTACTTAGCATTCGTCTTGACATAGCTAAGGCCCGGTTTCACCAAACGTCGCTTAACGTTAATCTTAGCTTAATTCACGTTTGTCTCTTTCTAAAGTAACAGTTGGAAAGAGACCAGGACCGAATTAAGCTAAGCTTAAGGTTAAACCAAACAAGCGAGAGCGCCTCTAGGTCCGAGCAAGATGTTGGTAGCACAATATTCTAATCTAAAATGTGAATTCATATACCGTTTTCCACCTTGTCCTGCGCGCCGGTTTCTTTTCGGACATAACACAGTTTTAATTAGATGGAATTATTGTCGTCAGTGAATTCACATATTAAAATCGATTAAAACTAATTACAACGCTGCTGCTCCAAAATCTAAGACAGCGAACAATCGAAATCTATACTGATAGCATAAATAAAATAAATTTGTCCTAGAAAATGAATTAATGCATTGAAAGAAATAAAGCGTGTTAAAGTTAAACAACATTAGTGAAACCGAGCCTAAGTTTTGCACTGCCGTTTTCATCGTTGTCGTTATCGCCGATAAAGTAATCGTCTCGGATGCAAGAACGTTTACGACACGAGGAAAAATGATCTAACGCTTCAACATGAGTATCGAGAACGAACATCTTTATACCGACAATTTGACAGAGAAAAAAATTGCCACAAGAAAGAAATTACTAATTAAATCTGATTTTAAAACTGCTTACAATGCTGCTGCTCCAATATCTAAGACAGGGAACAATCGAAATCTATACTGATATAATAATTCTCCTAAAAAATGAATTAATGCATCGAAAATGAAGCGTATTATGATATAAATCTATTAAAACTTTGGCAATATTTCACAAGAAATTGTTCTACTTTCATTTTGCCAAAATTATTATTCATGAAGGCCGTAAATTTCCTATATCTTCTTTTTATTGACTTATATCGCTACTTCGCCCAACGACTCATGCGAAATTATTTCTTCACCATTCCTTCAACGGGGCGGGTTTATTAAGGCCGGCTCGAACTTCATCGCATTCCATCTTAATCGAAGTGCTTTCGATCTGCTCTCCATCCGCGATCCGATCCAATCCCGTCGGTACCGAAAAAGATACGGCCAATAGCCGTGCAAAGAGAGAAAATAAAAATACAACAAATCGCCGCCGATGTCGAGTTCTACCACGATTGAGAGCTTCCCTGCCATTTTCGTGGAAGCCAATCCTCGCTGCATAGTTACGAAACTGCTGCTCCTCTCGATTCCGTTCAAATGCGAAATGCGAGTCCGGATTCTTTAAACGAGCCCCGGGGCGTATTCCCGATCGTCAGGACGATGATGCCCCCTTCATATATATTTCAACCTAATGCGCGTTCGAGTTCGCGCGCGTTGCCGTGTTTTTATGCCGTCATCATTTTCGTACAATGTAGACACGAGAAAGCCGGTCCGGGACCGAAGTCAACCGAAAAATGCAACATTTAAGATAAGCGCCCGGCGACGGTTGTGAGACGTATGATTACATGCGTAATATGGTGTTTGCAAAGTGCGTGTCGTTAGGCTTAATAGCGACTGAGGGCAAATTTTCCAAGTCTCGTTAAAATAAATACAACGTATCAAATTTCAAGATTGTGATAACTTCATCGGAAGCTTCGTCAAAAGAGTAGTACGTGCCCGCGTACAGTTGGAGAGAGGCAGGGGGTAAGCGAGCCGTCGCGTTTACGGTTGCAACGCGGTACATTTCCACCGTCGATCTATGCCGGATGTTGGTTGGTTTATAGATGGTTTGTGTCTGCTATATATATCGTCCACAGTGACACGTGCGTGTGACTGGGATGGGCCATAAAGAATCACTTGAAGGAAACGCGTTATTCTCGCTGCGAACAAGCAAACTTGACGAGGCTGCAATTTACGTAGTGCATCCATCAAATTTTGTGACGCGTGATCAATGTTCGTATTTTTATCGATAATCATTTTGAATAACACACCACGTGTAACACGTGATATCGCTCACTCCAAATTCTGAAGACACAATTTTTATAATAAATTGTTAAGCCCGAGCAAATGCTAATAATATGTAAAGGATGTTCTCGAAAATGCAGTATTGCATAAGTGACTTCTTTTTATGAAGCTGACTTTATAAGGAATATACGTATAATTTGTACAAACGAGAAATAGCACAAGTACGTTGCACAAGCCCTTCACATATTTAAATGCGCGACGTTATCAGTAAAGCGACGTGGTTTGACGTTACGAGCTTGTATTTTAAGAATTCTACATTGGACATTCGAATATGCGCGAACGGAATGTTTAATATTAATCTTCGGTAACCGTCAGAAACATGCGGCGTGTAAGCCGCAAGAAATCTGCATATATTGACGATTTGCTTTGCATTAACGTCTTATAAAAAAATTTTCATGAAGAAATGCAAAATCATTTACAAGAGATACCGTAAAGGCTAAAGAAATAAAAAAACAGGAGATTCAAAAATGTGGAAAGATTGTACACGAGGGAGCGTGCAACATTTAAAAAGTGCCATTTAAAATTTATATAAAAGATTGCGTTTATCTTCACGACAGAGAGAAACGAGAGAAGGAAAAGTTCGCGTTTTTTTTCCATCTACAAGTGTAATTACGGTTAAGGCCTGTGTCCACGATGCTAGAACTTGGTCCAAGTTCTAGTTTAGAGAAACGTGTAACCAATCAACTTGTAGCTATGCCATAAAAGAAATGTGTAGCCAATCAACTTGTAGCTATTCCATAAAAGCTGCAAGTTGATTGGCTACACATTTCTCGGAACTAGAACTGGGAGTTCTAGCATCGTGGACACAGGCCTTTAGAAAGAGCTGAGCTGATGAAGATCTGAAAGCCCAGAAATGGAAAGACCGAACGGCCTCGCGACATGCGGGTATCGATCTTTATAGCGATCTTTACAGCGAATTCTGATAAGATTTGCGAAGTGACAAATCGGGCACCTCATCCCTAAGGAGATCCGGGAACATTCTTGGGAATGTTTACACGTTGTCGCGCTGTTACGATCGCGACATTTATCATTCGAACAGTCGCAGAAACTGGTTCGCTTACTTATTGGCCTACTTTTTACAGAGGGAAGTGAACACGCTGGGCGAAGCGAACCCGTGGCACTGCACCGTCGTCGACGCTGATCGCCCGAGGCCGTTGACCAGTTAATAAAGTTCGCAATGCGAGGGTCGCATCGCCGGTAGCGCCGCGATCAGTATTGTTAGCGAAATCATACGTATCGCGTTACCCCTTTATTATACCTGCCTTCTTTCTCAGGGGACTCTCAGGGACTCCCCGGGCGCCGCCCAAATCGGCTCCCGATGATCCGCACCATAGAGCGGAACCGTGTACATTCAGAAACAATCAGATTGTCATCTAGGCATGTGTGTGTGCGTATAAAATATGTGATAATGTTTTATTTTTTAAATTTTACATAAGAGAAACTGAGGAGATTATTTCAATTGAATATATCTGAATTAAGCTGCAGATACCTCGGGGAATCTCATGCCTCGGAAATCTTTACAAAGATAACTAAACGTAATATTTTTTGCGCCTTTCATTCATATTCTAAATATACTGTACGTATGCGTAACATACATAAATATATGTTTCACGTATTCGAAATGTAACGTATAATTTCTTATCTGAATCAGATGATATATTAGACAGAATGAAGCACGAGAAAAGAGAAACCTTTAGTCATAGGCTAATATCTCAGACATTCTTTAAGCAAGATTGGATATGTCTGATGTCTATCTGCTATGTATATTATCGATACACGTAGCATTTCTTTCTAACATATATATATATCTCTCTTTCTCTCCCTTGACTACATTTACTACAAAAATACAGAAGCGACGGTAGCTTGGCGTAGGCCTTCCGTTATCAATTGAAATTTGTTGCAAGTTGAACGGGAGTCTCAACGTATAATTGTCCTTATTGGTCATTAAATTATTTCTCCACGTATATATTATTAAAAAGAATATCGATTGTACAATGTTATTATGTTCTTCTCTAATACTGACACCGTCTCGATATGTTATCATAACGCATTCTTGATTTACTACTAATGTTTCAGAATTTCATTTGTTTTTATTACAAGTGAAACTTATAAATTGCAAATATAATATGTGTAGAAAATATTACAGATATACAAACAGTTTGGAAAGTTACGAGATAGGGATCTCCGTAACATTGCACAAAGGCTTAACTTATACAGATACTATTTATCATTGACTGGAATTCCATTCTCTAGCGAAGTAGCGCCTGTATGACTTGGCAATATGAGATACCATCAAGAGCAATGAAAAAGGAACACTATATATATAATACATATTATGTTTCAGGCTCTTACGCAATAAATACCGTTATTGTTACAAAATGGGACATTGTTTATCACTCGAATCACTACATTGCTGCGTTGCAATCATAACTTCTGAGTAGATTAATAAAATAAAACAATCGATATAATTTTACGATTCAATACTATTTCAACTCTGATTAGTTGCAATAATATTATAAATTTATGTTTTGTCAATCAAGAGATTCATTCTAAAAAGTTGTGATTTATGATTTAACATTTCTACTATAGAAATAGACAGTTACAATAGAAGTATCAGGTCAGGTTTGAAATAGGACGACGAACTTCCGAAAGAAACAAAGTATCCTCTCATTTTCCTCGGTGTATTTTTCGACGTGCATCGGAAGAGATAAGTGGACGATTGTCGGTTTCGCGGTGCTCACATCGCGAGTGATAATTTTATCGGCCCCCGGGACGGTAAAAGGGTGAAAAGAGTAAACCGAAGTGCGCGCGATCTGATGAAGCGTCGTCACGGTCGAAGAATTAACTTCGCCGATGCGCGCCGAGATCGTCGAGTGATATCCGAAGCGATCACGCGGATCAAAGATGTACAAGAAGGCTAACGAAGTTCACCAGATCTCGCTCTTCCGTCCCTCTCTGCGGCGCGGAGGAGGCCATCGCTCTCTTTGTCGATCGCGCCGAAGGCGCGCAAGGGGCCCGATCTGTTCCAGTCGAGAGCTTCTTCGCGAAGATTGGAGCGCGCGGCCATCGTGAGGTGATCGCGAAGATTAGGGTATGGCAGGAGACTAATGTAGTCCGCCACGAAGATCGGCGATAGTGTCGATCGGCAATACTGAAAAATCATGCACGCCGATCCCCGCTGCATCTTCCTCCGCCTCCCCCGCGGACCCGCTTTCTTTTCGTCTCTCTTCCTCCCGTTCTTGCCCGCATCGGTGGACTACCCCAATTAAAGACCTCGCGAAGATCGCAGTTTGAAGTATTCATTAAGATCGGTATAGTCGAGGCGGCCTTCCATCGAAGTTCATCGCGAGAATTGGCCGGCCGCCGATCGCCGTCGTTAAGAAAATTATATTGCCCATTGGCGATTCGCCAGCGTCGTTTTCTTTTCGCTTCGTCTTCCTCCTTCTCTCGTACTTCGTTTCTCCCCGCTTATTCTTTCGCCCGCAACGACACCGATAATTAACAATCGAAACGGCGCCGCGCCGCGGAACTTGCGTCTGATCGGCGAACAGTGAGTTTCCGGTAGAGTTCCCCGCGATATAACGATCGCGCTAACGAAGTCGATTGTCATAGCGGCGGTGGTTTATCTTTTTTCATCAACATTCTAAAGGATGCCGCCGCTTTGATACTGAAGAATTCGCGTCCGCTCATTAAACGTTACTTTCAAAACGAAGTTTCGCAATGACGCTTATGCTAATGAAGTTAATTGTAATAATAGTAAACAACTACATTTTATCCTTCCCCTTCCCCACTCGATATCTCTTATATATATTTTTTTTTTTATATAGAGCTACCAAGCGCAAAGTGACCGACGAAATTTCGCTTCGCGACTGTTTCGCTTTCACGACTAATTATTTCATCTTTCCTGCGTTCCTCTACATTTTTGTTAAACAATAAATTATTAGCCTGCGATAAAGAAACGCGCGATTGATATCACAGAATTTACATTTGTTCGGAGAAACAGTCCTAGCGAAGTTCGGCAGCTGCGATTACGTCGGTTAATTATAACAACGGTGGACGCTATTAAAAGAACGCGGAAGATTAGGTAACGGGTTGCACGACGATAAAAATACGGCGCTATAAATTCCGGTGGAACGTGCGCGAAATATCCCCGGCCGGAATGACGAAGATGCTTTGTGAATACTTTGCGGGTGCTTTGCGCTTCGCACACTACAATCGGGAATGACACGCTGATTAACAAGCGAGATTTCATTGGAAACGAAGTCGCAAATTAACGCAAATCAAGAACCACTTCTGAATTAAATTACGAGTATTAATCTCTCGAGTAGGTAATAGAATAGAAAATAGAGAATTGGAAATTTGTATTCTATAAATAACAAAAAGAAATAACCTAGCTGTTTAAATGTCACTTCGAGTGCTGCGCTTTCATTTCACTGAGCGACTTGAAGTCTTTAAGATAATCTGTTAATCTTATCGATACCGAAGCTTCAAATTGAAGGAAGAAATTAGGGCAAAAATGAAGTGGAGTCGCAAGTTTTCTTTACAACATATCTCGGGAATCATGGATTTATCAGATTTGATGGACAGAATGGTTGCAACACTTTTTTTTAAATTAGTTCACACCCAGAAAAAAGTTTGATTAAAATCAAACAAATTTGTTTGAATTCTGACCTTACCAGACCTTTACTTAATTTCAAAGAAATGATTTCTTTACTTTTAGTAGAAGTTTAGTTTTAGTAGAAATAAATAAAATTTAGTAGATTCAAAGAAATATGATTTCAACGTATCTCATTTGTTTAACCTAACCAATCTTTTCTCAGGGTATAGGAATGTGCATTTAGATTCAGGGTTTACGTTTAAAATCTTCTTCTCCGAGGAATAGTTTACTCGAATGCCAATTCGAAACCAGTTCGAACATTTCCGATCTATTTCTCGAGTAAAATTTTCCCCAGGGAAAATGTTTTGGTACGTAAACCTGAATCTAAAGGCACGTTCCTAAACTCATAAAAAAAAAAGTGCAGCAACCATTCTGTCAATCACTGTGCGTCCGCGCAGCATCAGCACAGACAACGCGAGAGGATTAATCTCATCGCCCAGGCTCGCCGGCTTCCCGGTACCAAAACCGGAAACGGGAAGTTTCGTCAACCAGCTCCGCGGAGTTTCCGACGAAGAGTGACGCGGCGGCGCGACGCGGCGGAGTGCCGTCGGGAAGATTGATCGCCGGTGCTTCGGGATAAGAACCTGTTTTCGATAATGTCGGAAGATACGTTTCTAGTGCGCCATAGGTGCGCATCCGGACTCGGTGAGTTGCGCGCGGCGCGGCGCGCAACTCTTTTATAGGCCATTACTTTGGGACTTTATTGCTGGCCGCCAGTCAGAGCTCGGGGGCTATCTCTTCGTCATTCCTCCGTCGTCCAGCATCCCACCTCGCCCTCTTCAACGGCCTCCACCCCATCGACTCACCGACTCCCCGGAATCATTTCGGGACCGTTCGGCGTAATGACGTGTGTACTCGTATACACGCCGGCGAAAAATAAGCAGCAGTAAAGCCACGGCGAGGAGTCGCTGACCAGTCGATGGGTGGTTGTCGCTCATATTCGTCGTCGCGTGACCGACGCCAATTAACAAATGTTTAACCCTCACGCTCCCTGCCCGAATCCACCTTATTTGCGACACGCGGATACCCTAGTAGCACAGTGCATTTGGCTAAACATTGGTCCAATGTTGGTTATATTAGATTTATATTGGAAGTACATTAGCCAATATTTAACAATGCAGTAAGAATATTGGTATATAATATTGATACAATATTAAATCAATATTGCTAAATAGACATATTGGCTAAATAAGAGACGACGTCCATCTTACAATATTGGACCAATATTAGGTATACTAGATTTACATTATTTCCCAATATTGCGACAATATATTGTGCTAGTAGGGTAGGTTTAGACTCGCAGAAATTGAGGGATGGGACGCAAGATAACGTGGCACCACTCTCGAGGGACACCGCGAGAGAAGGTAAGTTTAATATCAACTCTTCTAGAAAGCCCCAACGCGCTCATCCGGGTAGAAGGTCCGCGATCGGTGAAATTGCATTTTCCACTTGTCGACGGGGACGTCCGTTTTCGGGAGACAACAGGTTTCTTCAAGCGGATGACCCAAATACAATGTTATCGATCCGCCGTTGTCGACTGCCGAATTAGCATCGTCCGAGTCAAGTCCCACGGCCCAGTGGCACGGCGTGCCTCATAAATCGTCGAGCGTGACGATGAGATTCAAGTGGGCGCGGACTCAGGGACGCTCTCGGACTCGCATAACTAATTACACGCGAGCGAGAACCCGCAAAACCTGGACGAGCCCCGGGATGAATCATCGACGATCGCGTCCGTGCGACTCTCTCGGAGGAGGCGACAAAGCGTTGCGGGAACCAGTTTATTTAGCGACGCTATCGAGTGTCGAATCGGCCATCGAAATTAAAATCGATCTCCACTCGGACAGCGGCGCGTACAATGTAGCGCGTTGATTAATCGAAGCGATTATTCCGCCTGATTGCGACACGCGGGTCGATACCATAAGCGCCAACCGCGATCTCGTTGGGAAATAATGGTTGTGTCTGTGCGATGCTAATATTCTACCCCGTCATTAATTCTTCCAAACTGAAATGTTCATTTTTACGTTCTCCAAATGTTTATCAAATATACAATCCCTGGTAGCACAGTGCCATGGGCTTAACATTGGTCCAATATTGGTTATATTGGAAATGCATTTCCCAGTATTTCGCAATCTAAAGCTAATATTGGCAACGAAATGCAAAATTGCAAAATAATATTTAAATAATATAATAAATGCATAAGAGTTTCTGGCTAAATTAATAGGCAACATCTGTTGGTTCCACCATGAATTTATTGCCCTCGGAGTGAAATCTGTTTAGTGGAAAATTGATTGTTCGATCGTGTTGCGAAAAAAGATTTGCGATTGAATTTCGACGTTGAGAACCTACTATCTCATATTAGAATCCTATGTCGTAATAGAGGGCTTTCCTCTAATTATAAAACGTTAGATTTATATAGAAAGTGCATTGGCCAATATTTAGCAATGTATGAATATTGGTCTAATATTGACCTAATATTGATACACATTAGTAGACCAATATTGCTGAGTAGACGACTTGGCTAAATAAAAGGAGGCGTTCATCTTACAACATTGGACCAATGTCGGGAACATTAGATTTACACATTTCCCAATATTGCGCCAACTAGGGATGCTTGTTGCAATATTTTCGCGCGCGCATACGAACGTTCGGACGCAATCGCGACGCGGAAGGACACTTTGCGCGCGTTGACAATTATACATATATCGAAACCTAGTACAAGCGCGACATAAGGAAGATTATGGTAGGATTATGCAATAAAGTTGTTTGAAAATCGTACCGTATCATTAAGTTATTAGCGGCGATAAGGCTAAGATAATCTCGCTTGTACAACGTGTCCCCATCCTACGTACCTCGTCAGGATGATCCTCCCCGCATCGGGCGTCGCACCTGGCCACTCTAATGGAGTCGTACTCCTCGACGTATCGCGTCCACGACGCCAAACATCCTGGTAGCAGCAACCACCACGGCCACCATTCTGCGCAGACATCGTCTTATTAACTCTTCCGCACCCAGCGGGCGGAATTTTATTCACTCACGCATCATCCTTTTCATTTCCCTTTTTATTTGTAACGCGCGGCTTTGCAATCGGTGTATTCCGGGTGGCTCGCGATCGGGCGATCCTTAAGTAGAACAAAGGGATACCGAGAAAACGATTCCCCTCGATTAAAATTCAGTGCGCGATAACGTGCGTTCGGCTCTCGCGTGACACGCAAGTTCTTTCTCTCTCCGCGGTAAGGACGGACAAATTGCAAAGAGTCGGATACTTAACGGCGCCTCGCACTTTCCCTGCGCGTCCCTCCCCGGCCGTCGGCGTTACCTCCCACGACGGTAATTCCGAGGAAGCGCAATACGTGTGTACGCCGTTAGTGTGCTACCCGCTGGGATAGCTCCGAGCGCCATTTAGTCCGTCTTAGGAATTCGTCCTTTTTTTACTTTGCCGCGCACCGAGCGAGCGAGCGGGCGCCCGCTCCCGGAGAGATTGTTTCTCCATTTTAGCAAAAGTACGATTCATGCGGTCGCGTACTCGCTCGCTCGCTCGCTCGCTCGCTCGTCCGATCGTCCGATCGCCCGGTCGCGGGACATACGCTACCTGTGCTACCGATCCCACGCGCCTCCTCGGAATTCCGATTGGGGCTCGTCGGCAAGAAGGTAGCAGGCGATCGCGTCCGCTTTTTCGCCGTTCGCGTAAAGACCGGCGGAGACCGGAATGATACCGCGGGGACCGCGAGAGTCATGGGGATAAAGTGAAAGATCCACGGGCGACGATCGCGATCGATCACGCTAGTGTGGATAAGCGGGATAGCGGATAAAGAATAAAGGCCGTGGATCAACTCTTGCCTGTGAAATTTTCCTAAAAGGATACGAGAAAGATCTGTGAAAAAAAGTGAGAATATTGTTGAATTAAGAAATTTATTAATTGCTATTATTAACCATTTTTTTCGTTGATATTAATCTTAACAATATTATTAATCATGATTTTATTATCGTCCTATTATCGTCGTGATTCTACAACGGAAAGATTTACGAAGAATATTAATATTTGCATCTTTTATCGTATTTGTGAATTTCGTTGCAATCTACATTTGCGACCGTAATGTAATTTACTATATCTCGTCTCTCGTTTCTTCTTTACCCATAGTTAACATCAATTGTAACATTAATATACGTTGGACTCGACGTGTTACGACATCAAACGTCAAAAAGAACCGCGCCTGTCGGTGACTTCAATGCCTGCTCTCAACAAGCAGGACGTGCTCCTCGTCCTCCCGGGTGGAGAACGAGCGGGGAAAAGGTCGCCGGTTACCAGCGACAATCGAACGGAAACATAACGACCTCTTAATTTTTTGCCTGTTGTCAATTCGCGCGTTTAATGGCCCGATCCTGGCCCGTTAATTAACGCGGATGTCTCGAAGGTGCTCGGGCGCTTATGCTTGATCCCAGTGTGGATATATATTCCCACTTATCGTAATTAATTCCCATTAGACTGTTAATCTTGCTAGATTAACGATAAAAGAAAATTTTGTTATTGCAGTATCATCTGTAAAGGCTGAAACTCGTAAATTGGAGAGATTGATTCAACGCTAATTTCTTGGTCAATGAAGAGAGATTTAAATAAGTCGAATAGATAACACTAAATTTTACATATTCCACTCGCTCCTATACATGAAATACATACACTCTTCAAACTGGTAATTATTATAAATTATTATGTTTAGTACTAAAACGAGAAAATAGAAACAGGACGGATTAATTTTTTTTTACAGCTTTCACTATTTAATTCATATTTACAGAACTTTGACCGAGCATCGTGGAGATAGAATCCAGCATTACGAGCAATATGCGATTAAACGTTAAATTGACGTTTAATATTTCGCCGTTACTGGCCGACTTTAATTATTAATTTGATTAAAAAATGTTTGAATTAAATTCTTGAAATCTCGATACACGAATGATTAGAATTACAGAAACTTGTAGGTCACTTACTTCATAATACAATCTGGATTTACTTTTTAGCTTTAACCGATAATAGCTCCTTGACGTTCCCCTTGCTCATTACGCTTATCTTAATGTTTTTCGCAAGAAAGTGCTTCATATGTTTCAGAATGCACATATCATCCGATTTCCAGAGAAGAGAAAGGAGTATTAGCTTTACTGCTTTCTGCAAATATTACACATTAGCACGAAGTGAAGTAGTTAGTAACGAGGTTAATCGTATGATTCTCTTTTCCTCCCTTCTTTCTGTCCCTCCTTCTCTCTCTCTCTCTCTCTCTCTCTCTCTCTCTCTCTCTCTCTCTCTCTCTCTCTCTCTCTCTCTCTCTCTGTTTATATGTATTATAAATTATTTCAAAACATTGCATAAAGAGTTATCATTAAATTTATTTTAAAAAATATTTCTATTTAATTATTAATCATTTTATATATTAAAAAGTATTAGAACATATATTTACCTACATAAAATTATAATATTTGCATATATTGCTTTATAAATTAGAGTTGTTCTTCGACAAAGCACGATAAATTCAAAGTTTTTTTTATTCGATAAAAGTTTCTTTTTTTTTGTTAAATTATTATGGAACGTATATTTGATGTTTCTTACGCGACGTTTTCTAAATATATTTTTTAATAAAGTTAAATTGATAAAATTATCACGGTAAAAAAAAGAGATATTTTATGATAAGTTTAATCCGCAATTTTCCTCTTTTCAATCAACCTTTAATTTTTTTTACAATAAATGGAATACTCTTCGAAGATATACTACCGAGAATCTTTGAGTTAAAACGGTACTTCGACCAGCGTCCGTAAGTGGTTCTTGTCAATCCACTTTAGCTTTTTGCGAATACGCGAAATGTCTTATATGTCTCATATCATGGTATACAATTTTAAGACTTTCTTTTTTCCTTATATGTCAAAACAAAAACTTTGATGCGGCTTTCATTTGCTTTCCTCAATTGTATTATAACTGAAAGCCACTTACATTTGAGTGTGCCGTTTAACATCACAATTAAGAAACTTAACTCGAAATAGATCAACAATAATTTCAATGCTCAATCATTTGAGTCCTAGACGTAGTTTTTCTTATATTATATATAAGTCTAGATACAGTTCTCTATAATAAAATTATAACAAGGCGTATAAGTGAAATAATACATCGATACCAAAATCATCGTTGTAAACAATATCAGTAACGCAAACTTTGTATTTTCATCCTTTATTAGCAGGTGAATGCTGCAGGTAAACATGCCTCGCGTAATCCCCATTTCAGAACCCCATATCTCCCATACGTACTTTTGAGGGTGGCCGGTAGTTGCTGCCTCCGCCTTCTTTCCGCAGCTGATGTCGGACTGCCGATGTGCGGCATCGGATTGCCGATGGTCTTCCGGGAGCAGCCTACTCTCGACCCGTGATTCCTTCCCTCGAACGAACGTCGAGGACCACTTTCCTCGGAAGGGACGATCAGGCCGCTATCAGTCCCGTATTTTCGCCCTTCTTAGAGAAGACGCGAAAGGTGGTGCATGGCGCCAGCCCGCACGCTCGCCAGGTGATAACGGCCGCGGTGTGGTATCAACGATATTTAACCCTCGGGGTATCTAACCCGATCCTCCCGATCAGCCACGGTAACAATCCGCCGTTCAAGACTAAACCCGTAAGACCGAACCGAAGCGTTCGAACTGGGATCGAGCTTACTTTCCTGTGCAGTCCGATCCTCCTTCTCTCCTGCTCTCGCCCTCCTGGCGCACTCTTCTCCTACTCTACACGCCGGGCCCACACCACTTGGTTTCCACCACTCTCCACCGCCACCGCCACCCATCGCAATGACCAAATCATTAACTTCAGGAAGGGTCCTGGCTCGCGCTCGGGCAAGGAGCACACGCGCGGGGAACGCGTTCGCCGAACCGACGCGACCAGAACTTCCTTCCTATTCCTTTCTTTCTTTCTTTTACGTGTCCCTGTCGTATTTGGGGACAAGGTAGCGCTCTTTGACCCCCTTTTTCAAGGGAAGAGGGTTCTTTCTTTAATCTCCTGGCCGTGCTCGTTTCTTCTAATTTTACACGTTAACCGTAGAAAAGATCCCTGTGGTCCTTCATTTTAAACATTTATTATTACAAAAGTATATAAAAATGTTTATTTATATACCGTTATTTTTATAGCATGTAGTATATACTAATTTGAAAAATATGTATTCGAAAGGATTTAATTACTTTTCGAATCTAGAACTTTTACAGATGTCTACAAATTAGTATTAAGTTATTTACGTTAATTTCGTTTCTATTCAATATTTTATACGTGCAAAAACGATGTCGATGTTTCGTATTGTTTGTATACATACGAATGCGGTGTATATTATTTTTACATTAATCCATAACCCGACGGTCGTTAAATATCTTTATACGTGACTTATACTAGAAACATACTTCAAAAATGGACGTGAATACCACTCGTGTAACTATGCCGGTCAAAACAGCTTGGCGTGAGATTCTTTTACCAAAGGGCAACTATTCAAGCGTGAGAAAGTTACCAATCAACTTCCTTTAGCAAACTCTTCTAATTTTGATTTTTAAAGAGAGTATACGTAACCATTTAGCATTTCCTGAAACAGATTAGATAACACAAAATCACGAATAACTTCATTATATATCAGAAATTTTATTTATCATGATAAGAAAATGTAAAAAGATTTACAGCTAGAAAACTGAATCAGTACCTGACTTAATTATATTAGTCTAGTCAAGTTTGGCAAATTTAAACTTATATATTTAAATTTTAGTCTGAAGTAAAAACTGAAGATTAGATTTCATTTCAGGCTCAAACATTTAACTATTTTCTGAAAATTTGTATTCATGGTTTTGGCATAAGAAGGACTCTATAAATATATACAACATTTATAATGTGTACATGTATGAAAAAAATTAATGGAATGCATGTTATTTTTATTCAATGAACTACATCGAGACACACGCGGAATAAAAGAAGGTATCGTGCGAAGGAAAAGGGTCCTCTTAGAGGGTCCTTCTATCTCGACTTCGGGTTCTCGGTGTTGCAGTGAATCCTCTCGACGCGGAGTCCGCTGCACACACTGGTTACCGGCGACCTGTGTGGCATGAGAAACAGGGCCCGCTCTTCCCACATAATAAACGACTTCGAAGAACGGTAGTGGCATTGACCTGAATCTATTAGGGCTCTTCGGTTTGGCAGTATTATAACTGCCCGTGAATCAATCCCTTACTTAGCAACATTCTCCGACCACACGAAAGCCCGGCTCGTTACTGTTCGGTTAGGACCGGGGCACCGCCGTCACTTTTCGCGGCAAGAACTTCTCGCAACTCCCTCGTACCCTTCGGGGGATGCTGATGATACCCCGATGACATCGCGGCGTCCGCGCCTTAGCATCAACGCTGACTTTGAATACCGACTACTTCTGACATTGAGACATTATCTTCGATCTCAGCTCGATATTCAAGAGATAATCTCGAATGGGGCAAGTTGGAAACGAGAAATATTATCTTCTTAACTGTATTGTTTAAGACTAGAAGAACCGGTACGTTATTACAATGTGCATATAATGCGCGATACTTTGGCTTTTACTATATATATTGATTTATTTGTTAATTTCTGCTGGAGGGAAATGCTAGCACTTACAATTATTTACAAGTTTTCTTTATTTGATCCTATAAAAAATGCACGTTCGTTTGTTATCTTTTTCTTGATAAATAACAACTATAATTAAATTTAATTTTTGATTGCAACGTCGTGGCATCAAAATTTATATAAAGTAAATTATATTAATTATACGTAATTGATCATGTTATTTGATCATGTTAAGTCGCACGGTTGCACTGTCTTGAATAAATTTTTATCCAGAATACATCTATTAACTTCGTTTTCTGCACTCTCTTGTCTCGGCATGTCTCGTAGAAATTTCTTCTAGTATCTTCAACGTCTGCAGAAAAAGTACAGTGAAGAATTAGATCTTAACAGTTCGTAAAGATAATAGATTTTTTAATTAACAACATTAAAGTTTATAAAACAAATAGGTACACTTTATCGTGTTCATATTCTCTTTCTTCATCATTAAAATAAAATACAAGCTATAATAGATAAATTATGACAACTACATTAGATGCCATAAAGTTATAATTACCAATTAATAAAATCGTAAAAAATGTACAAAACGTATTGATTTTAATACGATTAGTAGCTTAGTATTTTTGACTGTGCAGAATTCATTTCACTTTTTCAGCAATCAAACTCGGTTGTTACCTCGTTTTTCTGCTTCTTGTACCACATAACGTTGGTCTGGACTCTATTAATAACTTTCCCGATGATGGTGTCGTACTTCTCACTCTTGCCTCTCAGCCGCATTAGCTGAGGAGAAAAAAAAAGAGAGCGACCGTTACATAATGATTTGATACTTTTAATACCCGCGAGGTATATGCATATATATATATCGGTTTTCAGAGAAAGATATCGGGGTTCGCTTTTCGATCCTTGTTAAGTTTCTCACTCACGCAATTTTCTTACCCATTCCACATCCCGTTCTTGACGAATGCATTTCGAGAGGGCATTCAATACTTCGTTCAAGGTAACGTTTGCGCTGGAAATGGAGCAACGAAAATGTAACAACGAGAAATAATATTATAGTCGGACGACGATCGTATAAAATATGTAGAAAAGAATCGACACACTGATGAAATTTTTTATAGTTATTTTTTCCAACTGTTTGAAACAGAATAGCGTTATTTCGCTGCCTGTCGTAAACCTGACTTAACTTACTAATTATCATCTTCTGTGGTGTTCGTGTTAAACTTATTCCAATGTTGAGCTAGGAATTCTATTGCGACGCGGTATCCGTGTGGATTCGAGGCGATGGACTTCAGAGCTAGTTCTGCGTATTCAGACGATACATTTCTTTGAGAATACATTATAGATAAATATCTGGAATAATAATATGCAAAGAAAGGAATTGTAATATATATTTAAGTAATATATTCTACAATAAGTCGATATAATCAAAACGAACGTTTGGTCCCCTTTATACCGCGATTGTCTACTAAGCATCATTCGATGTAAATAATTTTATTTTACCGCGATCCGGAACGTGTCTCACCTCTGCAACAGACTCGCGTTAACATGACATCCCAATGCGAACGCAAGGCTTTTCTTATCATACGCTGATTCGTTGTATCTTTTCAGGAGTGCCAGCCATTGTTCCTCCGTGACGACTTTCACGAGTGTGCAGTACGTCCAGCTACGAAACTCTTCTGGTGAACTAATTTAACGGATAATTTTTCTTCTTCAGTATCTAAATGTGTTAAAGGCTGTCGCCCGTATTTACGCGTAAATTCAATGCGAAATGCAATGTCACGATTTTTAATTAACGTTAAAATATACGGTTTAGTAAAACAGATAGTATTTACAGTTACGTCGCTAGATACGTACTAGTTCGACGATTCGTTGTGTAGCATTTTTCGAGCGAAGTCAAGGACTGCCGTTAAACATGCTTGATTGTCGACTGAACACGCCGATTTCATTAAGTCTATCTCGAATTTTGTCCACATCGTGGGTTCCTTAAGAATCACCGTCGGTGCCACCTTGCTATACACTTTATCTATAAACGTGCACATGACGAACTGGAACAAGTCGAACAAATTTCCGCTTTTTGTTTAAATACAAGAATGCAGAGGCAGACTCTGAGAGAAACGAGTTAAATTAGATAAAAAAAATTAATCGCATCAAGCTCAAGATTTCAATAGAAAATTATCTGCATCAAGTTTTTCTTCAATATTAATTAATTAAATGTCTTAAATTAGATAAATTTAATTAAATATTATAAAAAAGGAAGGACAATTAAAAAATGTTTACAGAAAAATGTAACAATCTGATATTATTATGTCAGATAGAGAAGATTGTTTTTCTTTTTTTTTGGTCTTCTCGTTGCATCTCGTTTTCTTGAGAAAGAAAAACTGCCGCTACCGTATCGAGCGAATATCACTCTCCTGTTTCAGAGGATTCCGTTTCGTCTTTAAAAACATCAAAGTGTTCTTGTGAAATTGCGAGGAAGAAGGTAAAGTAACCGGGAGCGATATTTATCGCAACATTATAGAGATCTGCGGTTGATTCGCACAAGAAGTAAGAGTAAGTAATTCCATTTATCCAGAATTTACGAGCAATAAACCGGGTGGATTAAAACGCAGAGATACGCCGCAACGTATTTATTTAATTTGGCACGTTAGGTTTACGGACGTGGAGCGCCTGAAGAAACCGCGGGGCCCGCCTCTCGACTCGCGGTGAGGCCTCTCCTCTCGTATATTTTTGCAATAATGGCTTCTGTGAAAAGGGAACTGTTACGGCAATATTGGTCGGCGCGAGTGCTTAATTAAATGTTACGTGCCTCGTATTTCGGTGCAAATAATGATTGAGTCCTCCGACCTAATTGAGAACGTCGAATCGTAACGACGGCCGATGGGCCGATGATCACTTATATATCTGTCCCAGGGCTAATCATACGTTTTATAATGCCATACTTAAGCCTTAACTGCGCGTAATAACGACATAAGCCAGAACTGCATAGCGGACAATTCAGATCGCGCGAAGCGACGTCGATTATATCTCGCATATCTTATCGCGCCGCGGCCGTATAAATTAATAATAAAAGGAAATTTGCTCGCCTTAATAATCTCGCGCAAATCTACTTGGAAGGACAAACGAACCTGGCGGAGCCGCGGTTGGAATGTAGCGAAAGTACCGCGGATATTTAAGGGATTTACGCCACTTGGCGTGTGCACGATCGTCTCTCCGTGCCGTCCAAGTGGCCTCGATCCTCATAATTGACACAAAAAAGGGTGACACTTTAATTAAACTTTATTATTTGAATATTGTCCATAAGCGCGTAACTTAAAGTATTACCTCGAACAAGTCCGAGTCCCAAAGACGATCCTGGACGGTGGTCAATAAACGCAGCGCGGGTGTCCACAATATTTCTCCACTTTCTGACGCCACTTTCTCAAGGATATTCCACATAATTTTCTTATCGAGCAGCTCGGCGGTCACCATCGCAAACGAGTCGACCAGTACCTGCGCTTTCGTTACTTCCGGTAGAGCTTGGAAGGACTTTGCCAACAGTTGCCAGTTTTCTACGTCATAGTTGACACGGTACAATGCTGTAAATAACGATAGAGATCAACTGTTAATGGAGGCCCTGTGGGCAAGTTCGGAGGCCACGCGGTTTCCGAGAAGAATAGATATTATAGCTGGAAAATTGTTAATCTTCCTCGCTCGGCGTTGCGATAAATTTCTAACGTCCGCTAACTGCGGCAGAGACAAGACGCGTTTCTGAACACCCTATACAGGGTGTCGGATTCGATTTGGACCACTCCAAAGATTATAGTAGATTGGGTCAAACTGAGAAGAAAAGTTATATACCATTTTACAAAATCCGTAATTATCATCGCATAATTAAGAAAAACGTCTGAGCCAATAAGTGCACGGAGGAGCGGAAGGCCGGACTCGGCAGACATGCAAAATGGTGTATTATTCTCCTACCACCAGAAAAACTTTTTCGGCGCGGTGTCATATGTCGCGCGTTCGCTCGCTGCGCGCCGTTCACCCGCTCACCGCTCCCCGCTCGCCACCATCTCTCATCAATCGATGCGTGACTCCACCTCTCGCTATCGGATCTTGAGAGATGTCAACAAATACACCATTTTGCATGTCTGCCGAGTCCGGCCTTCCGCTCCTCCGTGCACTTATTGGCTCAGACGTTTTTCTTAATTACGCGATAATAATTACGGATTTTGTAAAATAGTATATAACTTTTCTTCTCAGTTTGACCCAATCTACTATAATCTTTGGAGTGGTCCAAATCGAATCCGACACCCTGTATATAAGACAAATTCCTTATGAATTTATGAAGTGGCTCGAGTTTGTTTCCAAATTGATCGACACCAGTTATTGTCGGTAAAAATATTACGTTGTGTACTATCTCCTTAATTGATCGGCATGCGTTACGACAGTGATATTACCCGTTTGATTGATATTAAACAGAATCCACTGGTTGTTGGAAGTCGCCCGGCTCAAAGCAATGTCGTTAATTTTCATGCGTTTCTTGACCATCCATGCCTTCGGCAGGGTATTACTAAATTGCTGTTCATTTTCGGTTGTCCACGTCAACGGGATGTGCCATAACTCTTCGCTCGTACTATTTAGGCCGTAATGATAAAATCGGTCCTGAAACACAAACATCGCATAATCGAGCAATTTTTATCGACATCCACTATGGATTCAATTTCATAATGATGCGTTTCACTTCTCTATTTAATTCGCTCTTCATAATGGCCGTATTATAATATTATAATGGAGATTGTAAATTGCAGTTTTGTTCATAAAAGATATTTGTGATGCTCTGTATTTTTATACGAGAGGCTTGTTGCTTGTACAATACGCCCGCGCAAACGTGCAAAGTATGAACAACGGAGGGCATTGGAGTTGGAAGGAATTATCGATTATGCAGACAACTTGATATACTTTGTATCTTCCGAGATGAAAAGTAAGTTGACAGCAAAATGAACTTTTTAATATGCGTACATGCCGCGTACGATGTACAATATAATTTGCATTGACACGTCTCTTTTAACGTAAAGCTTCGTTAATTTGAAAAATTGAGAAGCCAGGATTAAATATGGAACCCATCAAATTTTCGCTAAGAAAGAAATTGATCCGAATTAATCGGAGGTTCTGAAAAAAAAAATGGAGGCATTCTGTGTAATTTATTCGCGAGTAGTTAAACCACACAACTTCCTTTTTCTTCCCGTTGCGCTAAGAGAATAACGATGATTAATATCGTCGTAAATGCATTCCATCGATAAATAATTTGTCGTCGACGAAACAAGATGAAGAAACGCGCTCGGAGATCGATCTGCGATAAACATCGGCACACCTGCATAAGCTCGATCGCACCGGTTTCTCGATTCTGTTGGACGCGCAGGACAGGGAAGCCGGCCTGATACGTCCAAGTTCGCATAACGTCCTTCATTCGGGGCCCTGAGGAAGCCGGTAGCCCCTTCGCTTCATCGATCTCCACCTGAAAAGCGCTCCAGAGATCCTCCTGATCAGCGTTGCGATAGTGGTACGTGCGCATGTAGTGGCGCACAGACGAGAGGAAGATCCGCTCGCCCAGAAAATGATAGATCATGTGCGCCATGCAATTACCCTTGACGTACGACGTCAAATCGAAGATGCCGGTGAGCCCGCTCAGTTTCCCCAGATCGATATGCAACGGGTGTGCCGCTTCGTCGGCGTCGCTGTCAAACACGTCGTGACACTCGATCAGGAAATGGGCCCGCAGGTCCCAGGATGCAGGCTCGAGCTGCAGGATCAAGCGAATTAATCACAGCCGTCGGATAAGTGCCACAACACCATAACGATAAGATTCATTCTCATGAAATTATTAAAACAAGATAAAAACGTGACAGAGATGTCGAGAAATTATCAATCAATTGTGAAAAAATTCTTTTTAAATCAAAATAACAACTATCGATTTCCTTTCAGCTTCGCCAAGTCTTCGTTATTATTTATATAATTGTTAGTAACATTGAAGTATTTGGTGATATTTATTGCAGTAATTATAAGTAGTAGATTTCAGACAATTGTTTCTTTGTAGGAAGTTGATTTGTATTCGCACTTTACCGCATTTAGCGCTAGAAAGCCGAAAAATGTGGAAAATCCTTCTTTCAGCCACACTTCGTCCCACCACTTTGGCGTTACCAAATTACCGAACCATTGATGAGCGACTTCGTGCGCCACAATATTAGCCAGTGACTTTTTCGTTTCAACAATGCTGTCGTCTTTCCTTATAAGTATAACATCTTCCCTGAAAATATCAATATGACTTCTAATCTCCATCGTACACAAAATTCTCACAATTAATTTGCTGTGTGAAAAAAAACGCAGCATTCTAAAGAAGTTGTGATCGTAAATTCTCGTTGAGGAAGACTCGAGTGCAAATCACATTTAAAGACGACAATTCCAGAATATATCTAATACCTTTCGCAAAAAAAAGGTCGGATTATTGCGGAAAAATAATTCGTTTACCGAAACGCTATGAGGCCCCAGTTTTCCATCGCGGCATATCCTAATTCAGGAACCACGATCACATCCAGTTTATCTAATTCGTAATAAAATCCAGTAAGATTCTGTATTACACGGAGAACCTTTGATACCAGTTCGCCGATGTATCTCGTGTCGTTCTCGATCTCTTTCCTGAAGAAGATCGTGTGCGACGGTCGATCGGCGACGGCGACGTCGTAACTCGAAAAATCGGTGACCATAAAGGCGACCAAGTAAGTGGGCATCCGGAAGGTTTTCTCATAATGGTCCCAGACGTACCCTGGCATGCCGTGTCTGCGGAAAAGGGAGACTGGATTAAACTCGGATTATTCTTTAACCGAAACGTCATAATTACACAAGTAAGACTTTGCAGCATTCGGGGAGCCCTTGGGAAAATTTACTTTAAGTGAAATTAAAATTTTTTAAAGTAATTTTTCACGTCTAACAATAAGAGTTTACTTAAAGAAGTCACAAGTTTACTTAAGAAATTTTACCTTAAATAAAAGTTTAAAGTGTTCAAATTTACACTGAGAAAAATTTTCATCGGATAAACCAATTAAATAGTATGTCCAATGGTTAATTTTTCCGATTACGTTTTCCGATTAAATTATGGATATATCCGATGAAATTTATCCGATGAAATGCAATTACCGATGAAATTTGATTGAAAAACCGATCAAATTTTTCATCGGATATACAATTTAATCGGACATATCCGTTTGTTATCATGTAATTGGATTATCCAATTATATTTAATCGGACATTTTTCTCAGTGTACTTTCAACATCTCTTATTTTTCTGAAGTAAAATTTTAAGGTTTTCTAAGGTATATTTTCCTAAGGGGGGATGCAATTAGGCGATGCGGATGTGAATCGCTCTCTTTTACATTTCCTCGGTGACTTTGCGCATTGAGTTCGAGTGCGATCGCATGCTCGACTCTCTGCCGATCGAGATGCGAAACGGCGTCTTGATCCACGGCTCGTCGAAACACGGGTAAGCTGTTCGAGCGTAATCCGGGGAGAAGTTCGACACCGCTATCCATCTGGAAAGAGACGTCCGATTTCGCAATATGCGCTCTCTAAAAGTCAATCAGCGAAGTATCACTAAAAACAGTGAATATCATAGTCACTGATCTGCAGTCATAAATATACTACTGAAAATTGCAGTCGTATACACGGAGAGAATTTCCTCTTAAAATTTATCCTGAAAATCATGTAATCGTGGAACGATTTGACATTTTGGACAATTTTAAGAGAGTTTTTTGAAATTTTACCATACATTTGACTAGTAAAGTGTGTACTAAGTATAATAAAATTTCAAAAAACTCTCATGAAGTTCTTCAAAATGTCATGTTGCCCCGCGATTACATGATTTTCAGAATAAATTTTAAGAGAAAATTCTCTTCGTGTACTTATAGAGAAAAGTTCTCTATTATGAGATAGGATTCTAATATGAGATAGCAGGTTTTCAACGTCCAAATTCAATCTTTTTTCGCAACAATTACACGATCCAACAATCAATTTCCCACTAAACAGATTTCACTCCAAGGGCAATAAATCCACGGTGAAACCAACAGATGGTGCCAATTAATTTAGCAGAAACTTTGCTATCCCATATCTCTAGCTTATCTCTAACTGTAAATCAGTGACCATTCACTGTTTTCAGTGATAATCCACTGAGTGACTTTCAGAGAGCGGGTGTAAGTTACATGTAACGTTGTAAAGGATATAGAAATTAAATTTACCGTTGAAACTGATATGTGTTAATATAATGCATAAATCGTCCAAAAGTAGAAAAAAGTTTTAATTTGAGTATATTGTAGTTGTAAGTTTTATCTATCTAGTACGCGAAATTTCAGACCTGGTTGCCGATGAAATAAAAGAAAGAAAAAATGTTGAAGTTGTACTTTTTAACATCCTGGTAAACGCCAAGTAACAGTTACATAACATCTATATTATAATTTCTTACTCAACAAGATAAATGTAATATAACACCCAAGTTGTACTGCATTTACATTGCTAACAATAAGTAGGAAATTGTAATATCGATGTTATGTAACTATTACTTGGTGTTCACTGGGATAGAGGCCGATCGCTCGAAGAAGCACTTGGAGGGTTAATATTATTTTATAGAAAAAGTAGATCTTAATAATAAATGTTACAAGGCTTGAAATGTGCTATTAAATATATGATGTCACCAACCTCTGCAAGCAAACGCTTACTATAAGTAAAGTCACAAGGTACCTACAATGCTTTGAGGAAATTTGACAGCTCTTTGAGGCTTGACATCACATATTTTTAACAACGAAAGAATATGAATCGCCAGTAGTCAATTAGCAGTAAAAAGAATTGTTAAACGACATTAGGCTATAGCAGACGCTATATTTACTTGTTTGATTCCGACGTTTCGACCATACGGTTTGTGGTGGTTGCAATGTCCTCTA